CCGCCACTCTCGAAATTAGGAAAGGGAATTGTGTGGGATGACCCGCATGCCGAAGAGTTCGTGGCGACCCTCAGGATTATCGTGTCCCAGGCCGTGCGTGAGGGCAGCAAACTTGAGGCTTTCATGATTGAAGCGGTCCCCCGCCTGGCCGATATCCCGCGCAAGTGCAGCAGCTCCCCCCTGGAAGATGTAGAGTTGTTCCTGTCTGAGAGCCTAGGTGAGAGCTGGAAAGTGTTCACATGGACCGTGTCGAGTTACGACATGGGCGTGCCGCAAGCTCGGACGCGCCTGTATGTCTGCGGGCGTTTGGCGACGCTTTTCCGCGCCCCTGTGCCCGAGACCACGCCAGAGACGTTTTCGCTTGAGCTCTTGACGTTGTGGCAATTGTTGGACGAAACGGCACGGCCCGTCAAGATTAGGACCCTGACTGACAGCATGCGAAAGAATCTGGCCAGCTACAAGCGCTAGCCGAGAGCATCGTTGTGCCTGAGCGTATTGTTGTGTGCGATTTGAGTAAGGACCCGAAGCGAGACGGGCTGTCGCAGATGCGAGCGGACGGCCTTGTACCGTCTTTGACCTCTCGCAACAGGTACTTGTGGTTGTTTGCTCCAGGGACCCCAGACGTGCTCGGCCGTTTTTTGACGCCACAGGAGAGGGTCAAACTTCAAGGCTGGGCCCCCGTCATTTTAGACCACATGGAGCCTGGGAACTACTTTGAGCCCACGGGCTCAGGAAGCTGCGTGCCTGTTGTCGGCATCTGCATCGCGTGCCTTTTTAGTGGCCGTTTGGGCGCACTCGCGATGGCAGGTGCGTGATTGCATGGAATGGGTCGGGGGCAAGATCAGATGGATAGGGGGGTGGAGGGAAGGATGGGGGGAGGGCAGGACGGAAAGTGGATGGAGGGATGGAGGGATGGAGGGAGGGGTGGAAGCGGGGATGGAGGGATGGAGGGGTGGGGGGAGGGAGGGGCGGGTGGAGGGAAGGATGGACGAGACCCATCAGCTCGATTGGGCCGAGCAACTCACTGCAAGGCGGTCTTTCGCTGCGCCGCCAATGAGGAGGAGGAGGAGGAGGAGGAAGAGGAGGAGGAGGAGGAGGAGAGGAGGAGGAGGAAGACGCAAATGAGGCGTGGACCTCGAAGATCTCGACAGCGCTGCCGTGGGGGATCGGCATCGAAAACGGTGCATTATTCTTCTTCGTCGTCGTCGCCGTCTGTCTCGTCATGGGCGAGGCGGATGTGTGGAGGACTGGAGAGAGAGAGAGAGAGAGAGAGAGAGAGAGAGAGAGAGAGAGAGAGAGAGTTGGCGGCCCTCGTCGTCGTCGTCGTCGTCGACGTCCTCCTCCTCTTTCCTCCTCGTCCTCCTCCTTCTCCTCCCCCCTCAGAGAGAAACCGAGAGAACGAGAGAGAGAAACAACAATAACAAACGAGGAGAGACAGAGAGCGAGCAGAAGAGAGAGCCAGAGCGAGAGAGAGAAAACACAACACAAAAGAGGGAACGAAAGAGAAAGAGAGAACACAAAAGAGAGAGGTAGAGAGAGAGAGAGAGCGAGAAGAGAAAATGATATCGCCACCACCATCATTCACCATCACCTGTAACGCGCATCGCGCGCCTGGTCGGCCCGCCCCCGCTGGATGCGGTCGGGCCGCTTGCGCGAGGGGCGCGGTGCATCGCTTGGCGCGCGCATGGCCCGCGGCCCGCGGGGCGCCCGTGTGGCCTCAACCTGCCCGATGCCATAACTGGCGATCGGCTCAGGCGGTTCGCGCGGGGCGCCCGCTCGGACGTGCGCGCGGCGCTCTACAGTGGGGGCGGCCGACGTCCGCGCGGCTGCGCCGACGGCCGCCAGTTCCTGCCCTGGCGTCGGGCGCAGCCCAGGGCCCACGCGCGTGGCCCCCCCTGCTGGCTGGAGCTCCCAGCCCCGTCGCCATGTTCATGGCGCGGGTGGGCTCGCGGGGGGGTGCGCGGTACCTTGAAGACAACTGACGTTGGGAGAAAGCATACGCTTCGTAGCGCTGCACGGCGCTTTTGTTGCAAACAAAAAAAGAGAGAGAGAGAGAGAGAGAGAGAGAGAGAGAGAGAGAGAGGGAGAGAGAGAGAGAGAGAAAGAAACAAACAAGACAGAGAGAGAGAGAGACCGCGAGGAGCGAGAGAGAGAAAGAGACAGAGGGGGAGAGACAACAAACAAAAAACACGAAAGAAAAGACAACACAATCAAACACTATAAAGACAAAGCGAAAGACAGAGAGGGCCTCCGTCCCTCCCTCCCTCCCTCCCTCCCTCCCTCCTCCTCCTCCTCTCCTCCTCCTCCTCCTCCTCCTCCTCCTCGTCGCCGTGGCTCAATCGAGCTCTGTCGCTCGCGAGCGGCCTGGGCGCCCTCGGTGTGGCTCACATCCCACCCGCCCTCCTCGTCTCCTCCCCCCTCCCCCTCCTCTCTTCCTCCTCCTCGTCCTCCTCCCCTGATCATCCTCCTCCTTTTTGCCGTGGCTCAAACGCCTTTGTTCTGTCGCCCGAGCGGCAGCGACTGCGCCCGCGCGGATTGCAACGGCCGCGCGCATGGCGAATGACAGCTGCAGAAACTGCGCGATGGACGCGAACACGAGAGATCGTGCTAACGTCCATCGTGATCATGTCCTGCACTCCTATAGATACATGCGTCACCATATCGCAACACATGCGTCTAGAAGAGTGCAGCAACCGCTCGCAGTAGCTCGCATGGATGTGCAAAATGGCGACACCGTCGCCATCAAGGCACGGACATCGCCAGCATCCGTGTGAAATACTGCAACACGGCTCGCAGCAACGAGCAATACGTTACCATCGATCTTAATTCCCGACAGAGAAACGCCAACATGTTGTTTCCAATTTTGCCCGGAAACCAAATGTCTGTTTCCGGAATCTGTTTCCGTTTTTCCGGCGCAAACACATATTTCCACTAAAATGGAAAAAATCATCCTCTGGGGGGGGGTCACTACCGGTTGGAACCCCCCCCCCACCCCCTCTCGAAAACCGGAGGGGGGTCACTACCGGTTCGACCCCCCTCCCCACGCACCGCCAGCAAACGACTCCCGGTCCCTGCCACCGCTCGCATCACATCCCCCACTGTTGTTCCCAGCACCACCGTCCTCACCACCACTGTCCCCACTGGTTCCACCACCGTCCCTATTGTCCCCACCAATGCCACCACCACTGTCGCACTGTCCCCACTGTTCCCACAATTGTTCCCACCACGGTTCCACTCTCCCCACTGTCTCCACGGACCCAACCACTGCCTATCCCCATGGTCCCCACTGTCCCACTGACTCCTCCGCTGTCCCACTGAGCTGTCCCACTGTTTCCACCACTGTCCCCACTGTCCCCACCACTGTCCCCACTGCACCTCTGTCCCATTGTCCCACCGCCGTCCTCGCCACCGCCTTTACCAGTGTCTCCACCACCATTGTACCCTCCACTGTCCCAGTGTTTCCACCTCATTCCCACTGTCCCCACACCACTGTCCCCACCACCACCGTTCCCACCACTGTCCACTGTCCCCCCTGTTCCCACCATTGTCCCCACCACTACCGTCCCCACCACTGTCCCCCCACTGTCCCCACCACTGTCCCGCTGTCCCCTCACCACTGTCCCCACCAACACCGTCCCCACCACTGTCCGCACCCCCACTCGGTTTTCGAGGGGGGGGGGGGGGGAACCGGTAGTGACCCCCCCCCCTTCGAACCGGTTCGAACCGGTAGTGACCCCCCCCTGTTTTTCCGGAGGGGGGGGGGGAGGGGTTCGAACCGGTAGTGACCCCCCCCGGTTTTCCGCCAGCAGCGGTAGAACACGCTCTTTCACATATATACACACTTTAGAGTGCTTGCTTCATTGTGTTCGACCTTCCGACGGCCCCCGAGGCCCCCAAGATCACCCCAGAGGCCTCCAACATGGCCCCTATGATGGCCCAAGAGGCTCCTAAGACGGCCCCAAAAAGGTCCCAAAACGGCCCCTACGGGCTCGCAAGACGGCCACAATAACCTCCAAGACGGCCCTGAAGCGCCCCCAAGCGCTCCCAGACGGCACAGCGAGGCGCCCAAGACGGCTTCCGACGGCGTCCGACGTGCCAGGAACGCCCGAAGGCAGCAAAACAGGCTTCCAAGCAGCCCCCAGGAGGCTGAACGACCCCCTCAAAAAGGCCTGCTGCTACGACGGCCCCATGAGGGCCCCAAGACGGCCCCATAGGCCTCAAAGCGAACCCGAGCACCATCGGGAGCGCCCCAGATCGGCAGCCATGGCCAGAGGCCACTATAAGAGAAAAAACGACCGAACCGAAAACAAAAACCGAGACCGACAGCCCAACCGACGGGCTGCAAGCAGCCATGGAGGGCGCAAGGACGCGGCGACGACACAACAACCGACTGGACCGAACCGACCGCCTGCAACGAAGTTCGGGTTTCGAGGTGTGCATCCCCAACTGGGAGGGTAATGTGGTGGGGGTCTCGAAGGGGATGGGGATGGGGATTGGCTAAACGATATCGAAGAACAGCGTCCATTTCGATCCGATCGATCCTATTCGATGACGGCACCATCCAGCTCGACCCGACACGACTCCGATACCTACACGATCCGATGGCCCCAACACGGCGCGGTGACAAACAGCGCGGTGGCATCGGAATCCCCAGCGACCTCACCGCACGGTGTGGGGACTTGGAGGCCCCGGTCGCCCGAGACATCCTCGGACAAGGATTAGGTCGGGCCTGTCTCCCTACAGGGGGATTTTGGACGAGAGAACTACAAAATGATCAAAAAATGCCCCCGAATGGGCAAAACATGCTCCGAACAAAGTCCCCAGACTATTTTGTTGGGTATGTTTGAATGTTCCTCCTGTAGAAGGGCAGGCCCGACTTCAGACAAGGACCGTGCGGCCACCCCGATCTCCACTGACTCACCACACGCTGTGGTCACCGCACCGGTCGGGGATCCCTCCCGGACTGCGGGCCCAACCTCTCCCCGGGGGCGTCCGGTGGCCTTCGTGGCCCACTGGGCGTGGACCTCGGGCGCGGCGCCGTCTGGGGCCGGCGCTGCCGCCGCCGTCCTTCCTCCTGCCTCTCCTGCCTTCTTCCCTCGTTTCCCCTTGCCTCTTCCCGGCTTCTCCGCGTCTCCTCCTCCTCCTCCTCCTCCTCCTCCTCCTCCTCCTCCTCCTCCCGTAGCCATTTTGGCTCAAGCCATTTTGGTTCAAAGTTTTGTGTTTCCCAGGGAAACCAGTGGATACCGCTAGTCCGCGGCTCGACCCCAGAGTTCTCATCGCACCGCTGTGTGAGCCTCCAGGCGGCACAGCATCGAGTTTTGTCTTTCCATACTCATGGGCAAGACTGCGACTGGCTATGTCAAGTGCACGCAGTGTGCATATAAATGGACGTGGCGCGGCAAGGACACATGCTTCTCGTGCAACGCCCCGCTCGAGATCCCAACCTACCCCTGGCGCGAAGCTGGCGGGGCTTGGTCCGACTCTGGCTGGAAGTCTCGCACCCACAGTCACAGTTACGGCAAGAAGAAGGGGCGTGGCCAGCCTACACCCGACGACGACCCCAAGGCCTCCCTCGACTCACTCCTGCGTGAAATCGAATCTCGGGTGGGTGCCGACAGCCAGGCGGCCCTCGACACGGTCAAGAAGGTCGTCTTGCCGCCGGCCAAGGAGCCCGCCGAGACCCTGCACGCCAAGTACCAGAGGCTCATGGGGGCGGAACGTAGGGCCAACCGAGCGCTGGACAAAGTCGCGCTCTCGGAGCACAAGGCGGAGGTGTGGCTCACGGAGTGTCGGGAGCGCACCGCTGAGGCCTCTGAAGCCTTGGCCAAGGCCAAGAAGGAAGTCAGCGACACGCTCGAGCAGATCAATCGCGAGCGGGGCACCACCCTGCGCAAGGACGGCCCAACGCCAGCCATCGACCTCACCAGTCTCCTGTCCCAGAACCTTGAGGACCTCAACTTCGAGGAGGGCGAAGCCTTCTCGACCGAGGGCCTGGAGCTCGATGACTCTGAGAAGCAGCAATGGGAGACCCACAAGGCAGCCTTCGCCAAGGAGCTCAAGACCGCTGTCCAGCAGGCATTCGGCGCCACGGCCGAGGAGCTACAGAGGCAACGACGCGAGCTGGAGGAACTTCGGCAGCGGCTCCACTCCAAGCGGAGGCGCACACACGAATCAGACCCAGCGGAGGCGTCCCAGACCGCAGCAGCGACTGAGGCAGCAGGAGCCAGCACTGTGCCGAAGGCTGCTGAGCCTGGTGCAGGCCCTGCTACTGCTGACGCTGCTGAACTGGCCCGTGCAGCTCGCCAGAGGGCGGCCAACGGTGAACAGCCGACCCCCGCACCAGGGGGAGCCGCCCCCGCAGCGTCGGGGCTTTAGCTCCACCAAGCGGCACACTCGCGGCCCAGCGAGGAGCCGCGGCGGGCTAAAGCCCCACCAGAGGCCTGGACTGCAGCTCGTCGGGCTCAACGCCAACGCATGGTCGACAGCGATTGACTACATCGACGGGGCCACCGACATTGCCCCACATCATATCTTTTTTCCTACAAGAGCTTCGACTCCCACCAGACTGGCGTGACGAAGTGGCCGCGTCCTGCTTCGGGCGCAATCTCATTGCCGCGTTCACCTCCTCAGCAGTCGGGGAAGGTGGAGGAAGGAGTGCAGGGGTTGGAATCCTCGCACCTCGTAATATCGGCCTCACTGTCTTGGATGGGAAGAGTGGCTACGACATGTCACCACCAGGATATGAGGGTAGAGTAGCAGCAGCATGGACACCAGCAGGGCAGGCTGGAGGACTTATGCCCATCAGCGCATATTTCTGGACCAACGAGGCTTGGACCATCAGGAACCTCTCCATCCTCGACGCCATCGGCGACCTCATAGTCACATATGGCATCCCCTGGGTGCTGAAGGCCGACTTCAACAATGACATCCAGTCGCTGATCGACACGGGCTGGATAGAAGACGTATCTGGAGTTGCACTGGTCCCAGACGGACCTACGTGCGCGGGGATGGGAGGTGGCCGAACGATCGATTACTTCATTGTTGATTCCACTATTGCTGGGGCCTTTGGGCAAGCCACGGTCCTGGACAGAGCCACCTTCCCGCACTCGCCAGTCCAGATTACGCTGGGCCGCAGCATTCGAGCCAAGCATGGATGGAAGCTCTCTCGTCCGAAGCCGTTTCCACTGCATCGGGCGCCTGGGTGCGTGCCCGAGCCGCCAGACTGGCCTGGGTTCGAACCACATGTGAATTGGACGGACGAGGACATGTACGCCAAGTGGCTGTTATTCTCAAGGCTGGCGGAGCGTGAGCTGGTGGACATCTGTCAGGTGGGCGATCCAACGGCTTACTGTGGCCGAGGAGACTACCCTAGATGGATACGACCTCCCTTGGCAGGGCCACAGCCCCACGCACGGCCTCGTGGGACACCTCAGTCGCGTTGCTGGCGTTGGATTGCAGCCCGTGCCAGCGATATTGTCATCATCTCGCAAGCGGCGCTGTCGGCGCGATCCTGGGCACCATTCAGGGCTAGATGGACTAACCTGCAGCGACGTGTACTACTGGGATCGGATCGATGGTTCACACCACTGGGTGAGAGGTCACTAGAACTACTCAGTCAGACGTTTGGCGGTCATGCTACAAGCTGACTATACCATCGACACCTTGGCCCGCGACAACGTTCCCGTCATGGAGCTGCAGCGAGAGGCCTAGCGAGAAGCCCAGGTCATAGAGAGGGCACAAGCTGCAGAACGGTCCAAGAGCTGGAGATCCAGACTCAAGGATGCATCTCGAGGAGTTGCAGGTTACATACACAGACTTACTAAGTGGGCGTCACCACCGATTGCAGCACAGAAGAATGGATTCACCACCTTCCAATTGGAAGACTCGCAGATGGCTGCCGACGTCGAGGCGGAGGCCTGGTTCAAGGTGTGGCAAAGCCATGGACCCATCAGCACAGGCACCCCGCATCGGCAACGGAAACACATCGAATACGACCACAGTATGCTTGAAGGTATCGCCAGCCTATCGCCTGAACGGTTGCGTTCAATTTGTCGGGCATTCAAGCCACGCACTGGCATCGGCATCGACTGCTGGCACCCTCGTTGGTTGAGTTGGCTCTCTGATGGCGCGGTGCAGTTTCTCGTTGACTTCATTCACTACGTCTCACGTAGAGCCCATTGGCCGCCTCAGATTCGACATATCCTGTACTCCCTGGTGCAGAAACCTAAAGGAGGTACCGGGCCGCTGGGGCTTCTTCCTTTCCCCATGCGCGTGGCGGAGGGGGCACATGCACCCCTGTTTTACGCATGGAAAAATATGATCAGGAGGCCCTGCGATGCAGCAGGACCAGAAGGCGGTGCCGAAGAAGCAATATGGCACCAGATGCTCGTGGACGAAGGGGCCAGAAGGCTCGATGGCATAACCACAGCCACTGCAGTCCTGGATCTGGAAAAGGCCTTCGAGCACACATCCATGTACAAGCCCTGGGGGATTGCCGACGAGGTCGGATTTCCACGACAGTTGTTGAAGATGGAGATTTCAATTTTCACATGTGCAAGGAGCATTGCATTCAGGGGAGTCACCAGCTCGCGCAGTGGCTCCACATACTCTGCGGTGGTCGCTGGCAGCACTGCGGGCACGAGAGCCCTCAAGATGGTGGTCATCAGGCTGAGTCATCAGGACTCTGGACAACGTCATGGCGCGCTGGCCGCATATGTACATCACCCTGTATGTCGACGATGTCAGCCTGCAGCGCAGATCGGACCCCATCACGATTTCAGAGGAGCTGGGAGACGCGGTCGCCTACTACATCGACCAGGTCGAGGGCGACGGCCTCCCTGTCTCGCGCCGCCGACACGACGGGGCTGCAGGCAAGGGCTTTGTTCTGACAGCCTCACGCCGAGCACGCCAGGCGTGCAAGCACTGGGCAGGCCGTTTGGGCCTCGATTTTAAACCCTGTAGTGACCAGCTTGGCGTTGATAGTGCTGGCGGCAACACTGTGAGAGTGCGAGGGCGAATTTGGGGCCGTGATCAGGTTGCCCTTACGAGGAAACGCAAGATAACGGCCCTCGCTCGGCAGGGGGCGCGTGCCGGCAAGGTCGTCCGCTGCGGCCTCATCCCCTCCCTCGCCTACGGCACTACCTGTCTAGGCATGGACCCCAGCAAGCTCAACAGAACGAGGCAACTTGTGGCGAGCAGTCTAGGGGGTGCGGCCATAGGCAAGGACCGCACCTTGAGACTTTGGCTCCGTCACGTCGACCCAGTGATTGAAGCATGCATCAAGCCGCTTGCGCAGTGGTCCATTGCAGTTTTCAACGACCACGCCCTGTCAGAGCTAAGCGCTGGATGGAGACAAGCGTGCAAGGCTTTAGCAGCACGACCGCTCGCGAACCGCTAGAGGCAGGTACGCGGGCCAGCGTCGGCAGTGCTTGCCACGCTGGGCAGGCTAGGATGGCATTGGTCAGCCTATCATACGTACATCACTCACACTGGTTTTTGCATAGACCTCCGCCGCACAGCCCCCAATCCCACCAGCCCTTTGGGCGTGAGTGGTTTAGGGAGCTCTCTCTGTTCTCAACCCCCCTTCTTCCCCTTCGGGGAGGGGTTTACCCCTCCCCCTACCCCCTCCCCCTGGGCCTGGAGAGGGCGTCCCGCGGGTGGTTGGAGGGGTCTTTTCGACTCCTGGGAGGGCTAAAATTCGACACCCCTCACGAGGATTCTGGCCCCGACGGGGGGGGCCAGAAAAATGCTCGCCTCATCTGTGATCGATCGCCCGACAGATGGCCCCAAGATTCCTCCCAGACCCCTCCCAGAGAGCCCCACGAGGCCCCAAGCGGCCTCCAAGAGGCCCCCAAGACGCCGCCAAGAGGCCCCCAAGAGGCCCCAAGAGGCTCCCCCGAGGCACCCACGACGCTCCTGGAAGCCCCTGGAGCCGCCACGAGGCCCCCAAGACGCCCCAAACGGCCTCCAAGAGGCTCCCAAGAGGCCCGAAGAGGCTCTCCCAAGGCACCAAAGACGCTCCTAGAAGCCCCTGGGGCCGCCAAGAGGCCCCGAAGACGCCCCAAGAGGCCTCCAAGAGGCTCCCAAAAGACATCTACTACTACTTCTACTACTACGACTACTACGACTACTACTACGACTACTACGACTACTACTACTACTACTACTACTACTACTACTACTACTACTACTACTGCTACTACCATCACTACTACTACTACTACTACTACTACTACGACGACGACGACGACGACGACGACGACGACGACGACGACTACTACTACCACTACTACTACTACTACTACTACTACTACTACTACTACTACTACTACTACTACTACTACTACACTACTACTACTACTACTACTACTACTACTACTACTACTACTACTACTACTACTACTACTCTACTACTACTACTACTACTACTACTACTACTACTACTACTACTACTACTACTACTACTACTACTACTACTACTACTACTACTACTACTACTACTACTACTACTACTACTACTACTACTACTACTACTACTACTACTACTACTACTGCTGCTACTACTACTAGTACTACCACTACCACTACCACTGCTACTAGTACTACTGCTACTATTACTACTGGGATTACTACTACTGCTGCTATTCGTACTAAGACTACTACTTCTACTATTACTACTAGTCTTATTACTGCTACTACCACGACTACTACCACTACTACTACTACTACTACTACTACTACTAAGACTACCATCACTACTACTGCTACTACAATCACTACTACTACTACTACTACTACTACTACTACTACTACTACTACTACTACTACTACTACTAGTACTGCTACTACTACTACTGCTACTACCATCACTACTACTACTACTACTACTACTACTACTACGGCTACTACTACCAGTACTCACACCACGACGAGGGCCCCGAACGACTCACACCACGAGGAGCCCGAACGAGTCACACCAGGAGGAGGGGCCCGAACGACTCACACCAGGACGAGAGGCCCGAACAACTCACACCACGAGAAGCCCGAACGACTCACACCAGGACGAAGAGCCCGAACGACTCACACCACGAAGAGCCCGAACGACTCACACCAGGAAGAAGGGCCCGACCGACTCACACCAGGACGAGAAACCCCAAACGACTCAAACCACGAGGAGCGTTTTCTCTCCCTCCTCCTCCGCCTCGTCCTTCTCCCGCTCCCACCACAAGGAGGATGTACAAGGAGGCGGGAGGAAGGAGGAACAGGGGAGATATGCGGGGGCAGGCGGAAACACGCCTGAAAAACACGACTGCCGGCATGCTTCGCAAGAGTTGCTGTTTTGAGATGGGCTGGTGGGGATACGCGAAGCGTGAAGAATTCCTTGAAGGGGCTGGTGACGGCGAGGCTCGAAGCCATCGAACTCACTGCGTGGGCCTCTGCCAAAAACCTGAGTTTTGTTCGGCCTTTTTTGGACCCCATCCGCGCTGCTCTCCGACAGCGGCGAAACTTCCCCGGACGCCAACAGGCCATTTTGGCCTTTGTGTGCAAATCGTTCTGGACCCAGGACAAGGTGTGGAAGGCTGGACATAGCGACACTCGAGAGTGCCAACTCTGCCAAGAGCCAGAGGGCACCCAGCATCAACGTTTCTGCCAGTGCCCAGGCTTTTTCGACGCACGAAGAATTGCGGCAGAGGAGGTGCCCGAGTTTGCCCAGAGAGCGGCGGACTCCTCGCCCACCTCCCTCCTCTTCTCGAGAGGCCTCACCGCCCATCCCGTGGACGACCCGTTTACCTTGATACAGGACAGCATCGAGGGGCTTGACCCTGAATTCGGCGACGATCCCCTCACATCGGGGTTCGCGTACTCCGATAGATCGGGAATTGCCCCCCCAGGGTGCAAGTCGTTCGGATGGGGTTTTGCGTTTCTCGACGAGGTCGGTCGTGTCGTCAAGGCGGGTCGTGGCACCCTGGGGGGACCCCGCCTGTCGGGATCGGTCCTGAGAGCGGAGCTCACGGGCCTCCTGAGGGTCCTCCAGCACGGGAGAGCCCCCCTTCATGTTGCAGTTGACAGCAACTCTGTGTATCGAGGTTTTCAGCGTGGAGAGGCCTGGTGCACCAAAGCCAGGAGACCCCACGCTGATCTTTGGCGCCGCATCTGGATGCTAATGCGCGATGAGTTTCAAGACCCTGGCGCACTCGAGGTGGTCAAGGTGAAGGCCCACTCTGGCCGCGACCCCGATACCCTCGTCGGCCAAGGCCGCCTCGACGTCCTGGGCAATGCGCAGGCGGACCTCCAGGCCAGGAAGGGCGCGGCTCTCCACGGGCTCCCCGACGGCCTGAGGCAGCTTTGGCAGCAGCGGTCCAAGGACTCGATCAGCATGTGTAATTTTGTGGCCTGCGTGACTATACAGGTTGGCACGTTCAAGGACACCACTGGGCGCCAGGCCCAGGTTCGGAGTGGGGTCCGACATCGGAGGCGCGCTCGGGAGGGACCTCCCCCTGGGACCCGACCCCACCACCAGACCTGGGACTGCAAGGCGTGGAGGTGTCAACAGTGCGGCCGTTTTTCTCGGGCACGACACAGGGGATGCGCGCCCTTTTCCGCACCCCCTGCAAGAATGCCCATTCCAGAGTGGCCCGCTTCGTGTTGCCTGCCAGGACCACGCCTGGGCCACCCAACCGACAGCACGTTCTCATGCGCGCTGGTGGTTTTGTGTTATGTGGCAATTGCGGGGTCTTTTCGAGTGGACGGGCCAAGAAGCTGTGCCTGCCCTGTGAAGGCGAGCCTGCCAATGCGCAGGCAAAGTGTCGCCGTGGAAAGCTGCTCAGGGGAGAGAACCCGTACACAAGCCAAAGACTATGTGACGGGGAGGCTGCCCCTCTCCCACCCTCCGAGCAGCGGGAGGTGCTGGCGGCGCCTCAGGCCCGCTAGCGCCGCTCTTCGACCTCGGTGAGTTGCGGTGCGCCATCGGGGAGTTCGCAAACAAAACAACTCCTCCTCCTCTTCCTCCTCCTCCTCCTCTTCAATCCATTTCTCCCCCTCCTCCTGCTCCTGCCTTACCGCACTCACCTCCTTGCATTCGGTTCCTCCTCCTCCTTTTCCTCCTCCTCATTCCCCTGCTCATTCCTTCCGCCCCCTCGTCCCAACCAGTTATCTTTCTTCTCCACCTCCAGCTCCAGCTCATCCCTCCATCTCTCCTTCTTACTCTCTCCTTCCCTCTTACGTTCATTCCCCTCATCATGCCTTATTATCCTCCTTTCCTCCTTTTCCTCCTCCTCCTCCTCCTCCTCCTCCCCTCTACCTTGTTCCTCTTCTCCCCTTCCACACCGATTCATCCTGCCGCTCCTCTTTCTCTTCTTCCACCTCCTCCGCCTCCAGTTCCTCCTCCTTTGCGGTATGGGGGTTGTTTTCGGTTGGTTTGGGCCCCCTTGGGGCCTCTCGCAAAATGGACTCTGATACGTCTCCAACATTCCTTTGGCTTGAACATTTTGTTGAGCCCCCTTGACCCTGAAGTAGAAGCACTCGGGGGCGATCTGTGGACTCTCTGGGCTGCCTTGGGCCCCTTGGGGCCAAGAGTGGGGGGCCTCCTGTGGCCCTCGTGGAGCCTCTCGGGGCCCTCCTACAGGGATCCTGGGGACCCTGAGCGAACGCTAGAGGACGCAAGCAGGGGTTTGGGATACGCTAGACGTGGGGTGGGGTTTCCAAAGCGCTGTGTGGAGTCTCCTTTACTTCCCTGGACGACGTGCAAGCAACGTGTGTGGCATGCTAGAACCCACCCAATTGTACTTCTAGCCTCCCCCTCGCCGCAACATGGAGTCGCAAACGTCCCCCACATACACTGTGACCGGATCGCGAGGAGGCGCGTAAGGATGCAAAGCTGGCATGCGCCACAATAGTTGGAAAACCATGGCCAATGGTTACGGGCTAACGGATAAGGGCTAGGAGCTGGGATGCGCCGAGCGTTGTTACCCTTGGACAGGTACTCATTTTCATGATGCGTTGTGACTGCACAGTGTATTCCCAGCGGTATCCTCTGCCCAAACGGCACCATATCGCTCGCTCATCGGCAAGCCTCAGACGGCCCCCAACCCTCCCAGATGCCCGAAGGTGCTCCCTGAACGTGGGCCCTGACAGCCCCAGCAAGAAGACCCCCCCAGGGGCCCAGAGGGAGTCCGCCAGCAGGGTCTGTGAAGCCGGCGTCATTCAAACCCTTGTGGTGCTCACGCTTGCGTGCGCTATCGGGAGCCCCTGCGGTCCCTTCAGGCCTTTGGGCACCGTCCATAGTGCACAGCGGGAGCGGGCGGCGTAGGACAAACAAATGAGGTTATGTCGGGCCTGTCCCCCTACAGGGGGATGTTCGATGAAAAATTAAAAATACACCAGAAATGCACCAAAAAGGCAAAAAAAAAAAACGAAAACAAAAAACTCAAAAAATCATCCCCGTACTATTTTTGATTATTGTTTGATATGTGTGGCGTATTTTTTATTATTCGTCGAAAGCCCCCCTGTAAGGGTACAGGCCCAACCTAAAAATGGGGGGATACCGACGGGCAACCTGTTGAGACACGCGGGCTGGAAAAACAGGGTGGCCGGGTGGCACGTGACAGACTACGGCAGAAGGTAAATCAGAGGCAGCAGCGTGGAATGGGGACTCCCAGCTGCAATGTCCCGGCGGAGAACCGCGGGTCACGCCAGGGGGCCGCGAGGAGGACATCCACCTCCATCTTCCTTGACGTCAACCACCTCGTCCTCCTCAGTCCTCCGCAACAAGCACCTGCTCGTGCACCTTCTCAAGCAGCACCACCCTGGCATCCCCCTCCCCATCGTCCTCCTCCTCCTGGCCATCCTGGTCTTCCTCCTCCTCGTCCTGCTGCTCCTCCTCCTCCTCCTCCTCCGCCTCCTCCTCCTCCTCCTCCTCCTCCGGCAGAAGGTAAAAGAGTCCGGGGCCGCGCGGCACTGCAATGCCACATTGCCCGAGACGCACCTGGCCTCTCCCTCACGCGAAACGACTATCCGTCTGAACGCAACACGCACAGGGACACATCGCCAGACGTGCACGATCTGCGCGGCCGTCACCTCCGCCGTGCCTCCCAGGCGCCCACGAAAGGCCACAAATGAGCAGTTCGCGGCCCCCCGGGGAGCCGCGAGATCTCGAATGCATCTGCGCTGCCCTGACCTCCGCCTCGCCTGCCAAAGCCCACGCACATGGAGACAAGTGCGCAGCTCGCAGCCACACACGGAGCCGCGAGGTCTCAAATGGATCCGCGCTGCCCTGACCTGCCTCCCAGGAGCCCACGAAAATGGTGACGAGTGCGCAGCTCGCAGCCACCCAGGGAGCAGCGAGGTCCCCGATGGGCCTGCGTGCAACTCCACTCCGCCGCGCCTCCCAGGAGCCGACGAAAATGGTAACAGGTGGGCAGTTTGCACCCGCCCAGGGAGCCACGGGGTCCCCGATGGGCCTGCGTGTAACTCCACTCCGCTGGATCTCCCAGGAACCCACGACAGTGGCGAGAGTTGCGCAGCTCCTCTGGGAGCCACGAGGTCCCTCATGGGTCTGCGTGTAACTTCACTCCGCTGGACCTCCCAGGAGCCTACGAAAGTGGCGACGGTTTGCGCAGTTCGCAGCCCCCCCGTAGGACACGTATGGGGAAGGGAAACAAGAAGGCAGGAGGCAGGAGGAGGGGGGACAAGGAGGTGGGAGGAGGGAGGGCTGGAGACTACAATGCTCTATTCAAAACGAGAACCCATCACACATAAGGGTTGGGAAATAGAGGAGAAGGTCTGAGGAGGCAGGAGGGAGGAGGGGGAGGAGAGGAGGAGTGCATACCAGTGCTTTATTCAAAACGAGAATCCAACGCAGGCGGGTTGGAAAAACTTGCAGCTTGACTAAGTCCGCAACTTGTGGGTACGTATATCTTCCTCCTCTCATGGACGAAGTCGGCCGATTCTCCAGAATCGAATCGTGCCTCACTCCCCTGAATTCTCGCGTGACGTGCCCAAATGTCCCAGCGTGCCAGAACCAACAAGTGGGCTTCCCCAGTCACGAGGACGCCAATCATGCACCCATACTGATCCTGACCAGGCCCATCCCGGGCCCAGGATCGGTGATAGCGCCCTCCTGGCTTAGAAAGGAAGGCGTATGCACCAATCCTGGGCCCAGGACCAGCCACGCCAGGATCTGTGTAGGAGAAGTCCAGCTGGCGCCATCCGACCGAGTCCTGGACTGGCCACCTGCGGGGGGCGAACTCAGCAGAAGTGTTAAGTTGGGCATGTCCCCCTACAGGTGGATGTTGGGCGAAAATTTAAAATACTCCAAATGATACCGAAGAAAAAGCCCAGTCAGGGCTGTAGGGCTAGAGGGCTATAGGGCCATTGAGCTATAGGGCTATAGAGCTATAGGTCTATAGAGTTGTACGGCTATAGGGCTATAGGGCACCCCCGGGCACCCCCGGGCACGTCCGGGCACGTCCGGGCACCCGGGCACCCCGGGCACCCCCCGGGCACCTGGGCGTGCAGCGAAAATCGGCGGCCAACCTCACCCCCGGGCACCCATGGGCACCCAGGGGTGCGGCGAAAATCGGTGGCAAACCTAACCTAACCATATGAATCCGCTAGGACCCCTACAGAGGCAAGCTCTGATTGGGGAACATACGCCAAGATAGTTGAACAATACTCAAAAAAACAGTCACTATAGTATTGTTTGACTATTTTTGAACATTCCTCCTGCAGAGGGACAGGCCCGACTTAACAGAGGTGACTGGAAGTCCTGCCCTCCAGCGGTGGGGACGCAAAGAACTGGGAACTTGAGGCGTCGCCGCTCCCGGAGGTCTCCGAAGCCCTCCGAGGTGCCCAAACACGGCCAACAAAAGTCTTCTAAGAAGCCTTCTTGAACCCTCGACGCTCCTCGTTGCCGTCGTCGCAGACCGACGCACCTGCTGGATGTAGGATGTTTGCGTGGCGGGCATATATCCATCCATGCCCAGCGCCTGTGAAACCGACGTCCATACGGCCCCCCCGAGGGCCTGGCCATGTTCACACCCACCACCTGCCGACGTCCGACATCCCCGACGAATGGATGTGCGGACCCGCAGCTAGGGTCAGCTGTCGAGCGCTATCCTTGATCTTGCCCTCTATGCCTGCACGGCCCCTGCGAACTGCCTGACGAGCCCTGGTCCCCTGAACGAGCAACAATATTGCTCTCCTGCATTCAAGAAACACACGGCATGCTGAAGATCGTCGCCAAACACCTGGTCCATCTCCCTCACCTTCCCAAGCATGTCCTGCAGCGTCGCCCCCTCCCCTGGGCGTTGGTTATGGACAAATCCCCGCCTCGGGCGTATCGCCGCCCTCCCTTCGTCGCCGTATATTGGCGGCGCGCACAAGGGGGCAGCGGAGGGGGAAGGTCTGCTCAGAAGGAGGCTGCTTCTTAGAAGGCACCTGTCCTACATCTACAGACGAGGCCCGCGCCTTCTAAGCAGCAGGGATGCTTCTAAGAAGCCTTCCCCCTCCACCTAACCCCCTCTGCTCGTGGCCGACTCCCCTCGTCGCCGTGGTCCCTTCGCTGGCGTTTGGGGGCGCCGCCCTCGTCAGGACGCGCCCGCCGCCGCCCCCCTCGGAGCTGCCACGCCAGGGGCAAGGCTCCGTCGGGCGCGCGCGCGCGCGGGACGCTCGCGGGGCGGGTGTGATCGTCTGGTGTTCCTACGGGGGGGTGCGAGGAAGAGGTGTTAGCACAAGTTGGTGGCGAGCACGGGGGGTAGGGGGAGGGTGGAAGGCTTCTCAGAAGGAGGCTGCTCCTTAGAAGGCGCAGGCTTTACGTCGACAGTCGAGGCCCCGCCTTCTAAGAAGCAGCGGTGCTTCTAGTGAGAAGCGTTCCCCCTCCCCCTACCCCCCTCTGCGCGTGGCCGAGCAAAGCATGTGCGCGGACAAGGGGGGGCATTGACAGAAAAAGGGGGGGGCATTACCTTCGGGTGCACGTGCACCTAGTCCTCACCCCCCTCTTGGACGACCCCGGAACAGGGGGAGCTGCGATCCTTGCCCCCCTGGGGAAACCCATAGCGTCGAAAATCGCTCAAGAGAGGCCTCCCTGGGGGGGCGCAAGGACACGGACGTCCGACGCCCTGATCTTCTCGCAGCGTGGACCCGCCCGAGGTCCGGACCTTCTGCCCGAGACAGGCTTCTCATTCAGAGTCGCGTTTGTTGACGGCCCTGGGGGGCCCCGTAGGGCTCCCTGATGCGGAAGAATTTGGCGGCGCGCACAAGGGGGTGGAGGGAAGGGGAGGGCTTCTTTGAAGGAGGCTGCTTCTTAGAAGGCGGCGGCCCTGTATCTACAGAGAAGGCCCGCGCCCCACTCCCCTGTGCGCGTGGCTAAAGAATGAAGGCGTCCAAGGACACACAAATTCATAAATACACGCACAATTCCCAGGATTTCCAATTTTTTTTTACACGTTCTGGAAACAAAAGTCTTCACCCCTACTTCCGATATGTTTCCGCATTCTCCTGGAATCGACGATTGTTTGTGTCTGTGCTTCTCCCCTCCCGAAATAATGCCCGAAACCTCGGGCCGCGCTTCCGCTCGTGGCGACAAATAAGTACAGCCGACCAGTAGAATGAGGACGCGCGAGAAGGATGCAGGGGTCTTGGAAGGCCATCTCGAAGCGCGGCCAGCGAAAGTGGGCCGAAGGAGCAAGGAAGCAAGGGTACCGGTGTTGGAGGCCTGGAAATGGGCACCAACACCAACACAGGGTGTTGCTTCCACAGGGGGGAGAAGATGATCCTAGATTTCGGTGCTGGTGGTACTATTTCAGTGGCCTTGGAAGCCAGCATATTACCACCATCACCGAGATCGGGATCCTCTTCCCCCGGTGGAAGCACGCCGCCGATATTGTCGGCTGGGCGAAAGGGGGGGATATCAAAGGGGGGGTTTGAGAATCAGCTCACGTAGCTGACTTTCCCGGCGACTCCCGGCGCCGGGAGGGTCCCATGTATCGAGGAATGGGCCCCTCGGTGGGGCCGAAACCAGCTGCATGCAGCGGATTTCGTAACCCCCCCTTTCCCGATCCCCCCCCTTCGTCCGGCCCGATATTGGTGTTGGTGTCAACCACTAGGCCTGCGACTTTGGCATGGATGCCCATCCTTGTAATGCGGGCTGACTGTTATGGGCACCACCGCAGCTCCCCCCAACGGTGGCCGGCCCGGCCCGCGGGGCGCGGCTCACGCGGCGCGGTGCTGGTGCACCGCCCGCAGCCGGCGCGCGGACTGCAGGAGCACGGCCTCGCCCTCGAGAATGTCCAGAGCTTGCTTGAGGCCCTGGATCTCCGCCTGAAGGGTACTTGTTGTTGCTGTTGCTGCTGCTGCTGCTGCTGCTGCCACTTGAAGAACAAGTGTGGTTTGGTCTCTGGAAGCGGTTCCGCGCGCTCTCGCCTCGACGCTGGCTGCAATTCCTCTGAAAACGAGGCTACCGCTCGAGCGTGGGCTTGAGCGTAAATGGGTGCCCTTGGAGGCACAGCTATAACGACAACGGCTCCCGCTCGATACGTCCTCAAAATTTACCCCGAGACTCCCTGGCCAGAGAGGCTCCCAAACTCAGGAACGGTGCTCTCGCTCGAGACATTTTCGCATTTCAGTCACGTTGGCGGAGGACCAGCCATGACGACAAGGGCTCCTGCTCCATACTTCCTCACGGTTTACTCCGAGAGCCTCTGGCCAGGAAGGCCCCCGAACTCGAGAACGGCGCTCTCGCTAGAGACATTTTCGTGATTCAATAAAATCGGTGAAGGACCAACTACGACGACTAGGGCTTCCATTCGATACTTCCTCAAGGTGTATTTCCAGAGGCCCGTGCCAGAGAGGCCCACGGACTAAAGAGCGGCGCTCTCGCTCGAGATTTCTTTTAATTCAACCAGCTTGGTGAAGGCAGTTCTCAATATGTATTCCGAAAGCCCCTGGCCAGAGAGGCCCCCGAACTCAGGAACGGCACTCTCGCTCGAGAGTACCTCGCACTTCAGTCAGTGGCCGAAGATATTCCCCATGAAAGGGGGTGCGATCGAAGACGAAATGGGCGGGTATCGACGCTTGGGGTATGAAGAATGCAAACGGAAAAAAACGCGCGCCAGTAAACACGAAGAGGCTTAAACTGGTTGTTGTTGTGGAGTGGATACTGCTGAATTCTCATGTCTCAGGATTAACTATTGTTGATCCCCCCGGTAACCATCGTATGTTTCAGTTGAAATGCCCCCGCATGGAGGATCGCACCCCGTTTGTTTCTCCAGGAAGGCTTGGTGCCACCACGCTGTGTTGCTGCCCCCGGCTACAGCAACAACAACGAACACAACAACACCTACAACAGCAGCACCAACACCACCAACAACAACAATCACACAACAACAATCACACAACAACAACAACAACAACAACAACAACAACAACAACAACAACAACAACAACAACACCAACAACACCACCAACAACAACAATCATTTTAAGACTGTTCGCCCTTATGCGCTCGAGTGTTCAATAATGCGTATTTCCCAAACCCTCGATACCCGCCCTCTTCGTCTTCGATCGAACCCCTTTTGGGGGGTATACCTTTCTTCCCTGCAGACCGGGCCCCAGCAAGCGGCGGGGCGGCCGCGGACCGTCAGCCTGGCCAGCACCAGCGCTGATCGGCGGGGCGGCCGCGGACCGTCGACCCGACCCTAAAAGGGACGGACAGGGGACCGACCACGACGACGACGACGACGACGACGACGACGACGACGACGACGACGACGGCGACGACGACGACGGCGACGATCGAAAGCGAGAGCGAGAGAGAATGACAGCAGGGCCACAAGGACAGGAAGTAGGCCACGAAAAGCGCGAACGAGCGGGGGCCACGAAGGGCAGGCGACGACGACGACGACGACGACGACGCCGACTATAATTACAACCATTTCGGTTTCGGCGGATTTGCCCCACCAAGAAGACCACAGCGCGGCTGCTCCAACTGACACACAAACGGTTACGGAGAGCGGTCGCCCAGACCACGTCTCTGCCTCTGGGCCCAGCGGGCCATGGGGCGGTCTCACAAGTAATCACGCAAGACGGTCTCCAACACAGTGCCCGTGACCCTGAGCCCCACCAGGCCAGCGGGTCAGCAGCCCACGATGGTGCCGAGGTCGGTCGCTAATATCACGCCACTGGCCCCGCGCCCCCAAGATAGGTCCAAAGAATGGATCGCGGCCCTGGACCCAGACCCTGAACGACCCACGGAAGCGGAACCAGAAGCAGCGGTGCAGGGGTCACCCGCGCCCCGGCCCCTTCAGGGCGGTCGGGCTCGCTGAACAAAGCACAATTGCAAGAAATACTCGAAAAGGACACGTGAAACAATGGCAAGGCGTTCAAGGTAGATGGCACAAATCGAGTAACAACACCTGCGGCAACAATGGAGCGGCAGCTATCAACCGCGGTGCCGAGCCCTGCACCGAACTCCACGAGTTGGAGGCGGCGTGGGCCTGCCACCAGCATACCACCGAAGACCCGTTCGAGCTCGGCGGGCACTCTCACAGCCCCGACGAGGAGGCCCCCCACGCTCCATGCCCTTGGTGGCAATTGGGTCTCCAAACAGTGAAGGGGCCCTGGGACGCGCAAATAAACAAACACGAATAACAGGATTCCCTATATTTTCCCACATTGTCTTGGCTGTTGTCTTCCCCCCCACTTCCCATATTTCCCAATATTTTCGGGGGAATCGACGATTAATCGTGTCTGTGTGTTCTTTTCCCTCTTGAAACAGGTCCATGCCCCGCCCCTCCCATCTGAGGCAGAAACGGGTCCCCACAACGCGCCCCGCTCGGACGAGGCCCGCGGCAATGCCCCGGGGCCTCAGAACGGACCCCCGTCCCGCACGCAACACGGCGCCCCTGTGCGCCAAGCGCAGTGGGCTGTCACCCAACCTGCAGCCTGCCACGCTCAGTGCCGCCCGCGCCTGCGCAAGCTCTCTTCGTCAACGCACCTGAACGCTCCAGCAGCACTGCAGGGAGGCGCTCGCCCGAACCGCGGGATTTTTTCCCCCAGGGGGGCAGGACCAAGGTTACCTGTTTATCTGGCTGAGGCGGCTCCAGCGGCTGCCTCTTCTCTCTCCCGAACTCGTTCCAGGAGGGCCTTCATGCGAGGGGTCTGGGGGAGGCTGTCTAGCCTCGCACTCAAAAGACCTACCTCTTGAGGAGGGGGTAAGTTAACTGCATACTGCATATACCCCACTCCTCGCCTCGACGACTGAGTCACTCGTGCGGAAGTTTCGCGCGAGTGCGGGTGGAGGCCAGAATAAATTCTCTTCAATGCAATGGTCGCCCCAGCAATCTTGCGCTGCTGGCACTCACGACCTAACAAAAGCATCGCTTTGTGGTGTACGCACCACATGTCGTGCAAAAGTACAGGACTGCTCCGCTCGATCTGTCATTCTTGTCAGATCTGGTGACAACAGCGTGGGCTAAAGTGTGGCCCATGTCAATACTGAAAACGTCCTTCCATGTCTTGCTCGGGCCTGAGCATCCAAGCAAAGGCCTACTCTCAACATCATTGCTGAACAAGAAACATCGTATGCACCTGGCCCTGCCGTCAACACTCAGGCTGTCGCGGCGGCTGAGGCACGAAGGAAAACCGAACTCAAGGCCACCCCACATGCGTTCCTCGCTGCTCGCGCTTCCGCGCCCAGCAGCCGATCGAGCAAACCACCCGGCCACCGACGTACCCAGGCGCGCTGCACCCCAAGCTTCCACGCAGTCTCCCAATCCTGCCCCGCAGTCATCGAATAGAGAATCAACTACGAAATTGATGTGCTCCAACATTGATTCCCGCCGAACATAAGGAAACACGTATAATGCTCGTAGGTTTAAGTCGGGCGTGTCCCCCTACAGGGGGATTTTCGATGAAACAAAAAATACCAAAAAAACATTCACCACAAATGAGAACAAATTGTCAAGCAATCGCAACCAGGCCGAAGGGGCGCCCCTGCCAAAGCGCCACCGCCCCCGGTCTGCCACACGCTAAATGACGGGAGCCCTGGTGCGCTCTCTCGCGCTGCTTTGCGCTCGATTCTCAGTCTCCCTCACCGTGGTGCACCGTCTCGCTCGCCGAGGCTCCAAAGGCTGGACAAAAAACAGCGTGATTCGTTTTCCTGTTGTCTCCGTTTTTTCTAGTTTTGCTTTCGTTTCGCCTTTGCTGGAAAACAACCAAAACGATAACGGTTCACGAAATCGCCAAAACACCGTCTAGGTCGAGCCCTGGGGTCTCCCTTGCCCCCCTCGCTCCAATCCGCTGTGCTCTGGCCCCGAACGTTGGGGGCGCGCGGACAGTTTGTCGCCCAGCGCCCAGGCCCGCGGCCTTTATCGGTTCCTTGCTCTCTCCCTCTCTCTCCCTGTCGATCTCTCTCTCTCTCTCTCTCTCTCTTTTTTTTTCTCTCTCTCTCTCTCTCTCTCTCCTGCGCTGCAGCCCTGTTGCGTGGCTGACGCAAAGGACAAACCCGCTGCCCTCGGGGCGCGCGCCGACAACTTTGTCAAGGCGACCCCGCGGCTGCAGAAACTCAGGGGCACGCTCTACCAGCTCCACCGAGCGGGCCTGGCAAAGCAAACCACCGGGCCGCTGCTGCTGACTGACGCTGGCGCAGCCAGCCAGCCCGCCCTGCGGCAGGAGCTGGCAAGCGAGGAGGCCACCCAGCGCTACGACGCCCGGCCAATGCACTGCTGGGAGACGCTGCTTGGGCGCGATTTGAGCGACGAGGCTTAGGAGCTCTTGAGCTTGCCCGCGCGCCTTGGCGCCTCGGCGGCGGAACGCTGCCTTCCCTGCCTCCAGGTCTGGCGCGGCCGAGGAGGTAGCGAGAGACCAGGGGTGCAGCTCGCTGCACGACGCCCTGGAGCGCCTGCCTGCCGCCTCGCGCAAGCTGGAGGAAGCGAGGCAGGGCCTGGCCGGGCAGGGGCTGCTGCTGGCGGACGGCGGAACACTGGCTGACAGCCTGGCGGGCGAGCTCAAGCAGGGCTTGGTTATGGAGAAGGTGCAAAAGGCGCACACCACGCTGTGTTCCTGCACCGATTGCCCCTTCTCCAACATACCACTCTGCGAGGGCAAGCGGGGCCTGGCGCGGCAGCCTTCCTGGGCTACCCAACCGAGACGCTCTGCGCGCTCGAGGACGCGCACAGGGAGACGGCTACTCGGCTCCAGCTGCGCCTCTGGAGCCCCGAGTGCTCCCGGGACCAGCTCGCGGCGGCGACGGCCCACTGCTGCCTGAAGAACGCCAGCGGCGAGGTCTGCGCGGAGCCTCTTGACGACCTCGGCTATCATGGCGCCACTTGCCAGGGCGGCGGCGTGGTGGCGCGCAGGCATGGCAAAGTGATTCGGCGGCTCGGCGGGTTTCTGCGGCGCTGGAGGCACGAACTCCCGCTCTGCGAGCAGCGGGTCCCGCTCTGGCATCAGCCGCGGCCGGGCCACCCCGGGCGGACGGAGCGCGCCGTGCTCGACCTCGAATTCCAGGACGACGACGGGCGTCGCTGGCTCGACGTGTCCGTGCGGCACCCCGCCGCGGGCACCGAGGCGGAGCAGCGGGTCGCGGGCCGCCGCGACGGAGAGGCGAGCCGTCGCGGCGCGCGAGACAAACACGCGCGTTACCTGGGCCAGCGCCTCACCCCAATCCTCCTCGAGGCGAGGAGGGTGGCTCGGGGCCGATGCGCGCCTCTGGCTGAAGGCTGAGGTGCACAGCTTGCCCGACGCCGAGCAGGCCCGCGAGCTCGCCCGCGCGCACCAGGTACCCTCCTGCGGCTTGCAGGGCGAGCTGCCGCGCCATCCGCGCACAGCCGCGGGCTTGCGCTGATCTGTCTGTCTGTCTGTCTCTGTCCGTATGTCTGTGTCTCTCTCTCTCTCTCTCTCGCTCGCTCTCCCTCTCTCTCTCTCTCTTGTTCTCTCTCTGAATATCCTTCTCTCCTCTCTCTCTCTCTGTCTCTCTATGTCTCTCTCTCGTTTGTTCTTTCTTCTTTTTTTTGTTCTCTCTCTCTCTCTCGATCCACACATATACACATGTATGTGTCTATATATGTTTATACCACCGTGCCCTTCGGCACGGAGGAGGCGTGTCCGCAGGTCCTTTGCCGAATCCTCTAAGCCTCAATCCTCGATGGGGCCCAGACCCCAAATTCGGAAATCTTCCGGGGCTTGCCGCGTGCCCCCTGGGCACCCCCACGCCTCCCCGCGTGACATTCTGGCCCAAGAGGACCCCAAGACGGGTCAAGAGAGCCCCACGAGACTCCCAAGATGGTGCAAGAGGGCTTCGAGACGCCTACGGATTGCTCCGAGAAGCCCAATATGGCCCCAAGACGGTCCAAGAGACCTCCAAGACGCCCCAAGAGGCGTCCAAGAATCTTCCGAAGAAAGCCCCCCAAAGGAGGCCTTTGGCATTGATGTTTCTTTGGTGTTTGAAGGTTGTTGGTATTCTCCCTCTTCGGCTTTCCGACGCTCGAAGACAGCCCAAGAGGCACCCAAGATCGCCCCATGACGGCCCCAAGACGGCCCCAAAACGACACAAGAGGGCCCCAAGACGGCCCAAGAGGCGCCCAAGGCCCCAAGACGGTCACAAGAGGGTTCCACGTTGGAACCACGAACCGAAAATTCTAGCTCCCCGCCCCGAGACGGCCCCAGGCCCCAAGAGGCCCGCAAGAGGCCCCCAAGAGGCCGCAAAGCGGCCCCTAGATGCCTCATAACTGCCTCCAAGAAGCCCACGAGAGGCCTCGCATGTCATCCCAACCAACGTCCACGAAGCCTCAGACCCAGAACCCAGGCACGGTGGCGGGATGGGCCAAAGACCATCACATGTTTATATGTATGTCTATGCACACACACATCTGAACAGTCATGTACGTGTGTGTATGTATGTGCACATCTATTTACACGTATGTATGGATGCATGCATGCATGCATGTATGTATGTATGTATGTGTATATGTATGCACGCACGCACGTACGTACGTAAGTAAGTGAGTAAGTGAGTAAGGACGTAAGTAAGTAAGTATGTATGTTTGTATGTATGTATGTATGTATGTGTGTATGGATGTATGGATGTATGTATGTATGTATGCATACATGCATGCATGTATGTATGTATGTATGTATGGATGTATGTATGTATGCATGCATGCATGCATGCATGCATGCATGTATGTATGTATGTATGTAATTATGTATGTATGTATGTATGTATGTATGTATGTATGTATGCATGCATGCATGCATGTATGTATGTATGTATGTATGTATGTATGTATGTATATATGTATGTATGTATGTATGTATGTATGTATGTATGTATGTATGTATGTATGTATGTATATGTATGTATACATGCATGCATATGTGTATGTATGTATGTGTGTATGTGTGTATGTGTGTATGTGTGTATGTGTGGATGTGTGAATGTGTGAAAATGTGTATGTAGGTATGTATGCGTGTATGTATGTATGTATGTATGTATGGATGGATGGATGGATGTATGCATGCATGCATGCATACATGCATGCATGCATGCATGCATGCATATATAGGGATCCGGTGTTTCAGAGTCGCGCTCTCGCTTGCAACAAGTCTTGGCAACTAATCCAATCGAAGCTTCCAGCGGACACGAAGACGGGTGACGGCCAATGTTCAGGAGTCCCAGAGTCACTTTTGTGTCGCATGCGGATGGCACGCCGAGGTCACAGCGATGTCCTCAGAACATCTCAAGAAACCCAGCGATTCCGCCAATGGGCCCTGCGATGGGACCCCCCCAAGCCTGCAGATCCGATTACTGATAAAATCCTGTTCAAACCTTCTCCCATCCTCCTCCGCCCGTCCATCCCTCATCCGTCATGCCTCCATCCTGCCTCCTCTCTTCCTCCTCATCCCTCGTCCCCACCGCGCATGTGGGGGAGGAGGAGGATGAGGGCGATGGGAGGGATGGAACAAACGGGGAGAAGGGAGGGAGGGGAGCGTGGAGAAGGAGAAGGATTTTCCTCTTCCTCTTCCTCCTCCTCCTCCTCCTCCTCCTCCTCCTCCTCCTCCCACGGCGACGACGGCGACGACGATAGCGCCTCGCGGCGGCGCTTCTGCTCTGCATACGGCTCGGTCGTCTCGTCGCACTGCGAGTGCAGGCTCTTCAGCACCGCCTGCACCGCGTCGAGCTCCTCAGCACCGCCGCCGCCGTGGCCATGGCTGCCCTCGCGGCCCCCACCGTCGCCGACGGCGCCGACGCCGGCGCCGTCAGGCAGTTGGCGACTTCAGCGACCTCGACCCCTGCTTCCTCATCATCCGCCCTCCGTCGTGCATCCTCCTCCTACTCCCCCCAGCCTTTTCTCATTCTTCCATTCCTCCTTTTCCCGCCCTCCCTCCTCGATCCCTCCCTCCTCGCTTCCTTCCTCCCTCCCTCCCTCCCTCCGTCCTCCTTCCCTCCTGTATCCGCTCCCTTCTCCCTCGGCCCACCTTTCTCCGCCTCCTGTTCCCCTGCTGGCCATCCTCCTCATCCTCCTCCTGCTCCTCCTCCTTCTCCTCCTCTTTTTTTTCCTTTTCCTCATTTTCCTCCTCCTCCTCCTCCGCCTTCTACCAGAGTGAGGGGGCCAAACGGTCATTCATTGTCCCTGGGTGCGTGGCTGAACTGGGGATACATGGTGCGGATTCTGCGTGTGGCGTTATTGTTGTTGATGCTGCTGTTGGTGTCGGTGTTGTTATTGATGTTGGAGGTGTTGCTGTTGTTGGTGTTGTTGTTGGTGTTGGTGTTTGTAGTGTTGCTGTTGTTGTTGGTGTTGGTGTTGTTGGTGGTGTTGTTGTTGTTGTTATTGGTGTTGCTGTTGCTGCTGATGTTGTTGTTGTCGTCGTCCCACCCGCGACTCCCCCGCGACCCACCTCGCGACCCAACCCGCGACACACCCGCGACACACCTCGCGACCCATCCCGCAACAACCCACCCCGCGACCCACCCGCGACCCACCCGCGACCCACCCCGCGACCCACCCCGCGACCCACCCCGCGACTCACCCGCGACCCATTTGCGACCCACCCGCGAACCATGTGCGACCCACCCGCGACCCACCCGCGACCGACCCACTTTGGTTTAACGAAAACATCGGCGCCTGTAGCGGCTTCGCCGTATAATTTGTAAACAAGAAGCGTATCAAAACATGGCGCCTGCAGCGGGCTTCTCCAGAGTCTCGCAAACTGCCGACGTCCCCGCCGCCCCCTAACTCCCATCCGCATCTGCGGGGTGCTACGTATTCTTGTGTTGCCCAATGTGATACAGTGAGGTGACACTGCAGGACGGCCCCACCTACGGCCCCAGTGGCAGCGAGCGGCAGCGCGGTCTCCAGCACGATTCCGGCGCCAGCGCGCAACACCGCAGCTTCCACGATCCCGGGGCCACTGAACAGCACCGCGGTCCCCAACACGACAACGGCGCCAGTAAGCAGCACCGCAGCTTGCAGCACGGAGACGACGCAAATGAACAGCACAGCAGAGTCCGCGACTTCGGGCCAGCGGGCAACGCCGCAATTTCCAACATGCCTCCAGCACCACTGGGCAACAACGCGGCTTCCAGCACGGCTCCGGCGCCCGTGCGCAGCGCCGCAGCTTCCACGATCCCAGGGCCAGCGAGGAGCACCGCAACTTCCAGCACGACCCCGGCGCCAGCGAGCAGCACCACAGCTTGCAGCACCACCCGGACCAGCACGCGCGAGGAGGACAGAAGTGGCACGCGAGAGCGACAGGGACAGACTGGACGTTGCCACGCCCAGTGGCGTCGTCGCACCCGGACCATAGCTTTCGCCTGACGCGCAGCGGCCTTCGCTCGAGGGCTGCTGTGCCGACGGTGGGCCTGACGAGCCTCTGGCCGCGCCGCCTCTACCCGGGGGCGGCGCCGGGATGACTTCACATGCATATGCCACGGCCAGTGGCGTCTCCGTGGGTCCAGGGCACGTCGGTACACTCGGTGCGGCCCACCCTCAGACCCCGTCGAACCCCGATCAGGAGCCTCGCGCAACACCTGGCGCTGCGGCGGCGCATCGGTGCGCCGAAAGGGAGCTTGAGAAGAATCTGATGCAGCGTCTGCCGTGAACCCATCCGAAGAATCGCTACGGAACGCTCAGGCCCCGTCTCCACATCGGATTCTGGCTCGGTACGCTAGCAGCGACAATGTCTGCCCCGTGCGGAGCTGCACACACCAGCGCAGCCATTCCGCGCGGGCCCCGCACGGAGTCGCCTCAGAGCAGCGGCTGCAGCGACCAGAAAGGATGCGCTGAGGGCGGCAGCACGGGGACTCAGCCGCCCCCCGCCAAGGGGGCGCCAGGGGAGACACGCCAGAACGGGCCCGAGTGAGGGCGGAGTTAAAACGCCCGCGACCCTCGGGGCGGCTGGGGGGGCCCTAGAAGAACGCCAGAAGAAAGAAAAACGACACCGAGGGCGCCAAAGAGGAGGACCTCGCCTGAAGACAGAGAGAGAGAGAGATAAATAGATATAGAGATAGAGGGAGAAGAAAGAGAGAGAGAGAGGAAAACAAAAAAAAAGAAAGAGAGAGAGAGAGAGAAGGAGAGAGAAACAACAACAAAGAGAGAGACAGAGGGAGGAATAGAGAGAGAGAGAGAGAGCAAAGCAAACAACACAAACAAACAAGAACAAGTGGCACAGAAGGCGCCGACGAGGGGGCGCAGGCCTGCGCCCGCGGGACACCCACCTGAGGAGACGAGCGGTTTCCCACACGCTCGCCGCGCGCGGGGGGGAAAACAAATCACCTGCGCGCCGCCATGGCGTTTCCTCTTTGCCGCTCCTGGCGTGCAGCCCCCCCCCGGTTCCGCCAGGCTCGGACGCTCCGCTAGGGCGCAACTCCACTCAGCCAGCGCACCTGGTGGGCACAGTACTTTTTGTTGCCAGTCTATGGGCCCCAGCACTGATTCAACCACTTGCTCGACATCGGCTCTGAAACCTGGCAACGCCCGTGGGTACACCCTCGCCCCGGCCCGGCTGCTGCCACGGTCACCGCTGCCACGGCTGGCCGCCCCGGCCCGCTCGACGCGGAAGTCTTCCACATCTGAGTCCACGTGTGAGCGCTTCTCCTCTCCCCCGTCCTCCCCGCGGCCGCCCTAATCCTTTTGCCCTCTCTTGCATGCCGGCTAATTAGCCATTCGCTGGAACGGACCGCCTCTGCCTCGCCGCCGACGGGGAAACTCTCCCAGCGCGGATAAGGTCAGTGGCCGTCGTCAGCGGCCAAGATCCTCTCTTCCTCCTCGTCTTCTCCCCCCCGCCATCCCCATCCGTCCCCTGAAAACTCCGAAGCCTCCCGCAACCATCGGACACACCAAAAATCAACCAAAAACTATGGACGACCTCACCATCGCCGCCGCCGCCGTCGTCTGGGCAAAACACCCTCGGGCGAAGCGCTCCCCCGCCTCCGGCATGATCTGCAGAGGCGCGCCTGGTTCCAGAGTGCATGGGACGAGGCAGCCCAGGAAGCTCGCTGCTGGCGTTTGGCCCGGCCGGGGGAGGCGCACCTCCAAATCCGCTGCAGGGCGCCCTAGGTCGGGCGGTCACAGGCGCCCGCAGGGGCAGGCGATGTGCTGTGGAGGGGCCACAGGCGCCCGCAGGGCCACATGGGCCAAGGAAGGCTATGCGTGCAGGGGCAGACGATGTTCTGTCAGAGCCAGCTCGGGCGGCCACACAGGCGTCGGTCGCCCTCCGAGCCTCCCACGGCGACGAGGCGAGAGATAAAGATGGAGGGGAGAGACTTTGAAGTCCGAGGGCGCCAAATGGTTCAAGACAATCAGACGCCGGTCAGCAAGCGGTCGGGCGCACGAAGGCGAAAAGGAAACGAGCGCGAGGGGGAGAAAGGGGAGGGCAGAGACACGCAGCACGGGCCCACTGGGGCCATCAGGAAACAGAGCCAGAGGACAGGTGCGCCTGGTCGCGGTCCCTATGCCGCTGCCCCTGCTCCCGTCGTGGAGAGCGCCCTCCTGTCGGACTCCCGGACGGCGGCTCGCTCGGCCGAGCGGCGGGACCTGCATGGGCGGCAGCCGCGTGGGGAGACGCCCTCGTCGGTGCGCATGCGATCTACGCCGTCAACTGTCAGCGCAGGCGGCGCAACGTCAACTCTCCATGGGGTGGGGTCGAGAGGTGGACGAGGGGGTGGTGGAAAGTTTAGGGCAGAGTGATCAGGAGAAGGCGTCATTGGAGGGGGTTGGTGAGGTGGACGAGCAGGGGGAGGAAGAAGGGGGAGAGCAGATGGAGATCGAGGACGACGAGGACGAAGACGACGACGACGACGACGACGACGACATTCACTCTTCCTCGAGGGAGGGCGGGACTCCTTCTGGACGCCCTGCCTGTCGGATTTGTACTCCGCCGCCTCCTTGTCCAAGCTCTTCGACTCCTGCGCTGGGGGAGAATAAAAACAAACCAAAAACGGCAGAAACATAATTTGTTGGCGTTCCGCGCTGATTTCTTGGATCTGCGCTGGACCCCCCGACGGCGCCTCTGGCGCCGCCCCTGGCGCGCGGGGCGGCGCCAGAGGCGCCGTCGGGGGGCCCAGCGCGGATCCAAGAAACCCGCGCGGAGCGACAACAAGTTTATGTTGATGGCGTTTCTTATGATTCCTCCTCCTCTTCTGTGGGTAATATTATTGATATGAATACTTTGCTCGTGCTAGTTGTCTTGATATTAGCATTCGTACTGGCATTTGTACTAGTATTAGTATTAATGTGTTTCTTATTATTCGTACTATTCGTATTATTATTCATATGATCATGATTCGTAAAATTATTAGCGCTTGTCTTACCCTACGTATTATTGTGCGTCATTTTCTTCGATACATACATATATAGAAATATGTGTACATATATGTATATATTCAAAGGGAGAGAGAGAGAGAGAGAGAGAGAGAACATAGAGAGATAAGGACAACTAGGCAGAGCTGGGGAAGGACGGGAGGAGGAGGAAAAAATATCCTCCTCTGCTCCCCGCTCTTTGCCATAGAACCACGCGCGCTTCGCGCGCGCTTAGGTTGTACTCGATTCCGAAGACGGTGTCAATTTCCATTGGACGTTTTCCATGTGGTCTTCCGGGTTCCGTGCGTGATTTTCATGGGACCATATCACCCATGCGTGAATTTTGGGCGGATACTGCGAAGTTCAAGGGGGGGTTTGGCCTGTAGCGTACTAGCGACGACCGACGACGACAACGACGACGGACCACCGACGATCAGCATCATTGTCACCTGATCTACGTGTGCGGGAAAGGCGTTTCCGGAGCGTTTTGCGGGCGTCGTGGGGGCGTCCTTGGGCCTCGACATTGGGTGGGCGGGTCGGGAGGTGCAGCCAGGGCCACGTGTTCAATAGGGCTGTTCCGGAACACGGAAGACGAAGGGCTTCTGCTGGGCTTCTGAAGGTCTGTGTAGAGGCCTCCTGCGAGCTCGGTGGGGGTTCCTCGGGAGCCCATATAAAGCAATTTTGGACGCTCTGACCGCTCGCCGCGCCTCCCGTCCAGGTCCAGTCACCGAGGACAACCCTTTGGAGCCACCACGGCCCCCCAAATAGCCGCCGAATTCAGAAGGAGTTGCGCGACAATTGTTTTTCGTTTGAAAACATGCAGTGCTGGGCGCGTAGGCCAGCCTGTAATGCCCCCTGACGAGCATCCATGTTGAACCAAACATTACCGCGGCCGTCGCCATCATCACCGCCAAAACCACAAGATAACAAATGTTACAATCATCGTCGGGCTGAGGTCAGGTCAGTCTGCGTCGCCGCACATCGACTCTTTACCGAAGCTGAGCGCCGCGAGCTCTCAGCAGCATTCGTCGACAGCTGTCGACAGCAAAACCGCCGAAATGGCCCTTGAAAGGGCCGCCAGGAGGGCCGCCGAAAGGGCCGCCGAAATCGTCGCCGAAATCGCCGCCGAAATTGCCGCCGAAATTGCCGCCGAAATCGCCGCCGAAATTGCCGCCGAACTTGCCGCCGAACTTGCCGCCGAACTTGCCGCCGAAATTGCCGCCGAAATTGCCGCCGAAATAATTGCGAACTCCGACAACATAGCCGCCGGAATTCTGCCGCCGAAATCGCCGCCGAAATTCAGCCGCCGAAATTTTCATTGCCCCGTCGCAAGCGAAATCGCTGTTCCAGTAAGCGCGATGACGCCGCAGACACAGGCATAGAGTCACAGCCAAGGTCAAATTCGGTCTTTTCTCGGCGGAACCATCTGGAATTTCGGCGGCAATTTCGGCGGCAATTTCGGCGGCAATTTCGGCGGCAATTTCGGCGGCGATTTCGGCGGCGATTTCGGCGGCAATTTCGGCGGCAATTCTGGCGGCCCTTCCGACGGCTCTTTCGGCGGCTCCTTCGGCGGCAATCTCGGCGGCCCTTTCGACGGCTCTTTCGGCGACCATTTCGGCGACGTTGCTTTTGCCAACTGTCGACAATGGCTGCCGGAAGCTCGCGGCACTCGGCGACCCCGGCGGGCCCTGAGAGGGCCCTCGAAGGGCCTCGCCAGAAAGCGTCCGCGAAGTAGCTCAAGCCATGCGTGATTTGCACGCGATAGCATGCGCAACGTGCAGTGTGAATGCCTCGCATTATACGTCAGCACGCTCTAAGGTGCGTCTGGGAACCACCGCGCGGCAGGGCGCGCCTGCACAGTGAAACTCTAAGAAAAACCTCAATTTCGTCTGGGATGGATTTCGGCGCGCGCCCCTTTTCGTCTCCAAAGAAAGAGCCACTATGAGGTCCAGGGGAGGGGGTGGGGGAAGGGTCAAGAGTCCCCCTCCCCGCCCGCAAGCCGTCCCGCTCACCCCCACCCGCCCTCCCAAAACATACGTAACACCCGAGCCTGGCCCGAGCCGCAGCATATGCAGCAGTCGTCGTTGCAGACGCCGCCGCCGCCGCCGCCGCCGCCGCCGCAAGCCGCCGCCGCCGCCGCCGCCGCCGCAGCCGCCGCCGCACCGCCGCCGCCGCCGCCGCCGCCCGCCGCCGCCGCCGCCGCCGCCGCCGCCGCCGCCGCCCCGCCGCCGCCACCGCCGCAGCCGCTGCATCCGCTGCCCCCGCCGCGCCGCCGCCGCCGCCGCCAAGTGTACTCTGTACTGTTTCTGTTGACAGGGATGGCGAGTGGAGGCCGCATCGGGTTCGCTGCGCATGCTCCGAATTTGGAGACAGAGTGTGTTTTATATTGCTTGTTACAAGGGAGTGGGGGGGCAGACTGTGTCTTGCATTGTTGTTTTACCAGGGACGGTGGGGGGGGATGCCCGCATGGACGCGGGTTGGCTCCCAGTCGCCTGGGGGAAGGTGCATACTAATAGGGAACAGTGATCAAGGCGCCCTCCCCGCCCGCAAGCCGTTTCGCTCATTCCACCCGCCCTCCCAACACATACGCAGCACCCGAGCCTGGCCCGCGCCTCAACCTTTTCAGCAGTCGTCTTTGGATGGGCAACTACTGGGGGCCAATCCGCCGCCGCCGCCGCCGCCGCCGCCGCCCCCGCCGCCGCCGCCCCCGCCGCCCGCCGCCGCCCCCCGCACGCCACCGCCGCCGCCGCCGCTGTCCGCCGCCGCCGCCGCCGCCGCCGCCGCGCCGCCGCCGCCGCCGCCGCCACCGCCCCCGCTGCCGAATTCCGCCGCAGCCGCTGCCGCCGCAGCCACTGCCGCCACCGCCGCCGCCGCCGCCGCCGCCCGCCGCCGCCGCCCGCCGACGCCGCGCCGCCACCGCCGTTGTCCGCCGCCGCCGCCGCCGCCGCCGCTGTCCGCCGCCGCCGCCGCGCCGCCCGCCGCCGCCGCCACCGCCGCCGCCACCGCCGTGTACTCTGTATTGTTCTTTGACAGGGATAGTGGGGGGAGGCCGCGTCGAGTTCGCTGCGCATGCTCCGAATTTGGAGGCAGAGTGTGTGTTTGCATTGTTGTTTACAAGGGATGGTGGGGGGGTGCCCTCGTTGACTCGGGTTGGCTCCCAGTCGCCTGGGGGAGGGGGTGTATATTAATAGGGAACAGTGATTAACCCCTCCCCAAAGGGGAAGAAGGATGGGTGGAGAAGGAGACGCTCTAAACCACCTACGCCCAGAGGACTGGTGGGATTACCCCCCAGAGGTACCCGAGAGCGCTCCGAAGAGACCCAAACAAGCATCCCTGAGGCTTCTGACCCACGTCAGCATCGTCGTCGTCGTCGTTCAGGGACGTCGGCACAGGCCGTAAGGCCTCTCCAACACTCAAACAATAATAAAAAATAGTCCAACGAGACGACAAATCGTCACCAGCCTATTGTTTTACTATTCTCGAGTATTCCTTCTGTAGAGGGACATATCCGACTCAACGTTAGCGAACGCGAAGGTGGGATGCCGCGCGATGACGTTCGTCCGTCAGGGGAGGAGTCCCGAGGTCGTTTTCAAAGGGCTCCGGCGGTTCACTCAACACTGATCCTGGCCAGACAAGGCATCGCCGTGAAGCAATCCTGGAAGTACTGCCAATGCTGGTAAACCACACTGCATCACAGGCGACAGATGCTCCCGGACGAGGTTGCATCAGGAATGCCGCGTGCACGGTTTCCCCCGGGGCCGTGGGCGACCCAAGGAGGAGGAGGAGGAGGAGGAGGAGGAGGAGGAGGAGGAGCACGGGTCGCCTAAGCCCTTCGGGGAAACCCTCCAATGCCGGTTGGGGTCTCGCTGCGCTTCTGTACATAGCAGGCCTTTCCTGGGCCCAGACTCGGCGGACACGCGCTCCTGGGTGAGCCAGCATGGCATACACAGCGATCGTGGGCCTGGGATGCTCACAAGCGTCATCTGGTGCTTGAACGTGCTTTTGCCCTCTGTCTCGGGTGTTGCTAGAAGTGCCCCTGGCCAAGTGTCCCCAGCTTTTCGCACTATTTTGGAGCCCCTGGGGCCCCCTGGGCCTTGTGAGGGGTGTCCTGGAGGCCGTCTGGGCCACCCCGAGAATCCTGGGGGTACCTTGGCCCAGTGACACTTCTATCAACACCCGACTGTCTGGATGGCTGGGGACGAATCGGGGATCTCTGCGAGGACGATCCGGAACGCGTTGTGAACGTTCCGGGACGCTGCGGAGAGATTCATGGGCTTGCCTCTTGGAGGCCTCTGGAGTGAGCTCTGCGGAGGCCTCCAAGCCCAGAGGCCCGACAGACCACCAGCGGCCTCGGCCAGAGCTCGTCGGTGTCTGGGGCCCATTCTTTTCTGGGCCCCCTCCTCTCGCGTCTGGGGGTCGTGGAAAGTGGCGTCGGGGCAGGCTAGGCGGCGAGCGAGGGGGGGAAGTGAGAAGGGGCGGGTCTTCTCAGAAAGCTTGGAAGTCCCCTGGCCTTCTGCGAAGTTATCAAATGTCTCCCCCGAAGACACAACAAAAACTTCTCAGGAGCCGCAAGGACTTCTGAGAGGTCTCACCGCCTTCTGAGAAGCCCTTCTCCTTCTTACTTCCCCCCCTCGCTCGCCGCCGACAGGCGTCTCTGAATCGTGTTAGGCCATGGTCCCTCACGAATCGGCCTGGACCAAACAAAACAACCAAACAGTGGGGTCGGCAACACCTCTGGCCGTGCCTGTCTTTGATCTCGTGTCCTTGTGCCTCCTCACCCCTCGCTCCCCCTAGACCTCGCTCTCATGCAGCCTCCTAAATCCCAAGCCCCCCCGGACCTTTCCAATACCCTCCTCCTCTCTTCCTCTCCTCAGTCGGAATTGGTTGGAGAGGACATAAGACCCTTCTGAGGGCCACATTGCCACAGGGATGTAGGAGGCATGGGTCACGAACCACATGACACAAACGTACCCTTGATTTGGCAGGGTCGACCTACTTATCAGCCTCGAGTGCACTGGAATGGGTGTGAGAATGGCACTCGTATCACATCTCAGCCAAGAAATCATGCCAAGACCTGGGGCTCCTTGATAGCTACTTACTGTAGGGTCGCTGGGATCAGGGATTTTGGGCGTAAGGTCGGCGCCTGCAACGCCTCAATTGGAAGACAATTGCTGGCTGACAAAGCTCCGCGCCCAATGTGTACACCCCGCGAGGCGAAGCTGAAACGATGCCTTTCCTCCCCCTCTCCCTCCTCCAACCCAAATCCGCTCTGGCAAGCATCCGATTCGGCTGCCCGCAAGTGATACGATCGAGGGGACGTGACATTGCGCGTCGAAAGATCGACCGACCAATCGAAATATATATTTATATACACACATCTATAGAGAGAAAGAAGGAGAGCGATAGAGAGAGAGAGAGAGAGAGCAGATGCCAGAAAGGGAAGTGAAGGAGAGAGACATACAAGGAGGGAGAGAAAGAGAGAGAGACAGAGACAGAGAGACAGAGACAAAGAGAAATAAAGACAGAACTAGAGAGAGAGAGAGAGAGAGAGAGAGAGAGCGAGACCCACCAAGTGTAGCCACATTGCGACGTGCGGCGGCATCCTGCCTGCGTTTTGTACTTCACATCCTGTTGCTTGTTCGTAGTCTCGAGCTCCATGTCCTTGGACTCCTGGTCGTACTCGGCTTGCGCAGTCTCTTCAGTGGAAATGATCTCGGCAAGGTTCTTGGAGAAATCCGATTCAATGACCTGCTTTCGGAGACGCTCTATGCGTGCCAACTGAGAAACACCTCACATGCACCCTCGGGCAACAAGCAAGAACCAGCATACTACAAACCGTGCGCGCGTGCAACTTTTGTCTCAGATCACAATATGCATATCAAGGCACACATCGTTAGGCGGAGTAAAGAACGCACCCGCCCAGACCCTGCCCGCGCCCCTCAGAGCAAAACAACATCTCGAGAACATCGCATCTGAGCTTTGATGTATCGTTGGCTGGGGGTGGTGGTAGACCGAAACGAAATCCTGTTTTACGTTCTTCACGAGTGTTGGCAATGCGCTAGAGTGGATGAGCAACTTGGCAGACATGCTCTGAGTTCGTGTAAGCTTCTTACGCTTCATTCCACGCCACAGGACATTGAACCCCAACCGAAAACACAGTCCTCCCACGCCATATATGGAGAATACCGACAAGGGCAGTCCAAATGGAGTGCTAACCTGACTAAAACAAGTCGACACCAACGCAAACAACCCGTTGCCATGATTATGAGATCGAGCCCGACCGACACATATTCTCCACCGTGCCTCTGGCACGAAGTGGAGTGCCGCAAGGCTCATGCTGTGCTGCTGCTGCAGCCAGAAGTGTAAGTCTGTAGAGGCCCAGGCCAGCCGTTTCCCAGGCCGTCTTGGGTCGCCGTTTGGTTTCCCAGGCTGGCCCCTCTGAGTTCTGGGGTGCTCCCTGCGGGTCCTCTGGACGCTGCGACCGCCCAGAAATGTCGAAGAGAACCCCGACTCGCCGAAACATCGCTCAAAGACGCTGTCGATGGTCTCCAGATGACCCCAGACACCTCCAAGACGCCCAAGGAGGCCTCCAAGAGACCTCCCAAGTGGGCGCCAAGAGGCCCAAACCATTGAATTCCATTTGATGTTTGAAGGATTTGGGCGTTCTCGCCTTTTCGGCTTCCCGACGCTCCCAGACGGCCCTGGAGGCCCCCAGGGCCGCCCCAAGACGGGCCAAGGAGCCTTCAAGAGGATCCTCAAACTGCACCACGAGGCCCCAAGACACCCCAAGAGACACCCAAAACAGCCGAAAATGGCTCCATGGAGGCCCCCCAAGGGGCCCAACAGACGCAACACGAACCGAAAATACAAGCCTTCCGCCCCAAGCGGCGCCCAGGAGGCCCCAAGAGGCGCCTAGGAGGCCCCTAAAGGCCCCAAATAGGCCCAAAAGAGGCCCCCGGGGACACCCAAACGGCCTCCGAGGAGCGTCTAAACTGCCTCCGAGAGGCCCCCAATTAGCCTCCCACGTGATCCCAGCGAAAATCCACTAGGCTTCAGACCCACAACTCAATCACGGTGGCGGCATGGGCCGACAACCATTGGATGCACATGTTGGTGTTGCGCGCGCGATCGTGGCAACCGCGAGAAACTCAGGTTTGATGTGCCACGGCGCTGACGCTTTGTGACTCTTTGACGCTGAGGTTCAACGTTGGTAAAAACTCTCAAACATAATAAAGCCCCCCACGCTCACGGGCGATCCGTTCACAATGCCAGCAGGCCACATAGAGCGAGAATGTGCGTTGCAAACCTGGGCATATGAAGCGAACACTTGACTGCAAGGAAGCAGGAAGCCATGCACACTGAAAACTTGCAACTGCATCTGCTCTTGCGCTCAAAGGAAAACCTGCTTCGGCTATACCGGCAGATTTCGACAACGGGCCCCTCCCCCTCCATTGCCCCCCTATCCACATCTGAATGTTCACGCAGTTGGGATACCGATTGCAAACGACATAGAAGCGACAAGCTCCCTATGAAGCTGGGCGTAAAAGTAAGTGCGCATGGGGCTGGGTGAGAGTATGATGGCATGATGACGGGGAAAACGGCAGCCGACGACTTACGCGCGACAGGGGACAAGACGACGACAGCGACGACGGCGACAAGTGGTGAGCGGCGAACTACGATCGAAGACCAACTAAAGACGAAAGACGAAGAAACCGACGACATAGACGAGCAACGAACGACGGACGACGACCGTGGACGACGACGACATGCTCGTCGCTCGTCGACGTCGGTCGCCTGTCGGTGTGGCGGCGGCCCATGCCTGCCATGAGGATCTACGGGTCATGGGTACCCGGGCCCAGAGGCTTCTGCCCGAGCCAACTTTGCTTTCCGCGGCGTTCTCCGACGGCCCCCATGCTGGGCCAAAGCCCCAGGACCGACGGCTGTGAAAACTCTCGGGCCCTTTCCGCTGGGGTCCCCTTTGATGGGCCTGTTTTCCACCACACCCACCATATGTTGGAGGGAGGAGGGAGAGTAAGGACGAGAAGGAGGAGGACGAAGACGAAGAGGAGGAAGACCCCTCCCCATCCAACTTATGGTGGTGGTGGTGGACAAAAGGCCCATTACCCTTGTCCTTCTTCCCAGGGGGATGAATGCGTGCACGGTGGACGGGAGGAAATGAGAAGGAGATGGCCTTCTCAGAAGGCGGCGGGACCTCTGAGAAGCCCATTCCGTGTCTTCGGGGAAGGCTCAAGAAACTTCTCGGCAGGCCAGGGGACTTGCGAGCCTTCTGAGAACGCCCGCCCCTTCTCGCTTACCCCCCTCGCTCGCCGCCGGTGTCTCTCTCTCCCGGGGGCACGCCAATCTGGGTCAGCGCTCACCCAGGTCCGTTCGGGCCACGCCGCGAACCCAGGAAGGCCACGAAGCGGCTCCCAAACGCTCGGCGGAGGGCGGGAGGGGGAGGCTGGCTCCACGTGCATCCCAGACCCGGGTCAGCCATGGGTCAGGAGGGGAAAAAAAACGCAGACACAATTTATCGTCGATTCCCGAGAAAATATGGGAAGTGGGGGGCAAGACAAAAACACAGAAAATATGGGGATCTATGGGGAATCCTGCTATTTGTTTCTATTTATTTGTGTGTCCCAGGGCCCCTTCAGTGGGGCATCGGAGGTGATTGGCTGACACGAGGACCCCCGTCCTCTCCGCCCTGACTCTCGACCGCGCCCAAGGGAAAGGGCGTTCCATTCTGGATCGCTCTTCGACGGTCCACCCTGAGCGTTGCCCCAAGGCGGAAGAGGCCGCCGGCGCGATCTTTCTCCTCAGCGCTCAAGAGGCCAGCGCTGTCGGCGGCGGCGACGGCGGCGACACCGCCAACCACCACTGTCGTCCTCGTCGTAGTCGTCGTCGCCGTAGCCGTCGTCGAAGTCGTAGTCGTCGCCGTCGTCCAAGTCGCCGTCGTCGTCAGCGCCGCTGCTGTCGTCGTCGTGGTCGCGACGCTCGTCGCAGCGGCGATCGTTGTTAGTGGCGCTATCCTCCGCCTCCAGCGGCGGCGGCCGACGCCGCCGTTGCGCGTCGCCCCACGCAGTGGCGGCGGCCAGCGGTGCGGCCGCGCCTCCAGCAGACCAATGACGCCGCCGCCGGCCCCGTCGGCGGCGACGTGGGCCTTGCCCTCCTCGGGGGTGAGGCCCCGCGGGGGCGCCCTCGGCGCCAGCCCCCGCCGTCACCGCCGCCGCCGTAAGAGGTCACCGTCGCCGCCGTCGCAACCGCCACCGCCATCGCACTTCGTCCTCCGCCCCCTCCTCCTCCTCCTCCTCCTCCACCTCCTCCTCCTCCTCCTCCCTCCCTCCCTCCCTCCCTCCCTCCCTCCCTCCCTCCCTCTTCAAAACCCCATCCCCCATCTCCAAGCCCCTCCCTCCTTCTACTCCTTGTGTTCGTTCTGCTCACCATTCTGCACATCCACATACTCCTCCTCCTCCTCCTCCCCCCTGCTTTTCCCTGAGCGTGTGGAGGGAGGAGGGAAGGGAAGGAGGAAGGAGAAGGAAGGATGAGGATGGGGGATTTAGGAGGATGAAGTGGAGGTGTGACAAGAGGAGTGATCAGCAAGGAGGGAAACTGCAAGGGTCATAGCAAGAACATGGCAGCAAGACAAGACGGAGGCCGGAAGGAATAAGCAGTGGATGAGGAGGGAACGAGGGAAGGACGGATGATGAGGACGAGGAGGGAGAGTGGAAGAGGACGCAGAAGAGTGGACGAGGCATGAAGCGGAGGGAGCAGAATGAGAAGAGGGGATGAGAGGGGACGGAGGCACCGTAATAAACGCGCAAAGGCTGCCTACGTGCACCCAGGACAACCATCTCCTCGCCTCACGTTGCGCGCACCGCGGTTCTATGCGCACCCCTCGCGCCGCCAACATGGGGAGGATATAATAAACGACAATACATTAGCATCATGATCATCATCATCATCATCATCATCATCATCATCATCATCAGCAGCAGCAGCAGCAGCAGCAGCCGCATCAGCAGCAGCAGCAGCAGCAGCAGCTGCATCATCCGCATCAGCATCATCATTATCACCATCACCATCACCATCACCATCAACACCATCATCACCATCACCATCACTATCACCATCACCATCCATCATCATCATCATCATCGTCGCCGTCATCAGCATCATCATCATCATCAGCATCATCATCATCATCAACATTATCATCACCATCATCATCATACTCAACATCATAATCCTCATCGTCACCACCACCATCATGATAATCAACATCATGATACTCAACATCATCATCATCATCATCATCATCATCATCATCATCATCATCATCATCATCATCATCATCATCATCATCATCATCAGCATCATCATCATCATCATCATCATCATTATTATTATCATCAGCAACAACATTCGGAAATCAACGAGGGGGGCCCAACGTCGGTCAAACAAATCCGCGCGCGCCTCCTGAAAAATATGTTTGTGCCGTTATCCCCTCTTCGAGCGGAGCGACGCTCTGGCCACTGGCGGCGCGCACAAGCGGGTAGAGGGAGGGGGGAAGGCTTCTTAGAAGGAGCCTCACAGAAGGCGCCAGCCGCCCTTCTCCGAAGCCAGGGGCGCGCCGCGTCTGAGAAGCACCCCAGGCGCTTCTCAGCCTTAGAAGGGGCGCCCGCGCCTTCTAAGAATAGAGGCCTCCTAGATGAGGTCGGAGTAGGTACGCTGGGAGGGTCGCACCGCATCGCCGATACATCGGCGATACATCGCCGATGCATCGGCGACATCGGCAATGCATCGGAGGCTCCAGCGTGGAGAAAATCGGGCTCCGCATCGAGCCGCGTCGCCGATGCATCGCGGATGCGGCGCCATCCTCCGACCCCATTTGCTCGGACCCCATCTACATCAAGGGTCTGAACCGAACTGGTAACGGGGAACCGGCGGCCGAACGAACCGAGCCGAACGAACGAACCGAACCGCCGGCCGAACAGACCCCGGCTCGCCAAGCCGGACCGGCTCAAACCGGACCGGCGCCGAGAACCGAACCGCTGGAACCGAACCGGCCCGCCGCCGAACCTGCCCTGAACCGAACCCTTCCCGCATCTAGGAGGCCTGGAAGCCTCCCCCCCTCCCGCCATCGCCCTCTGCGCGTGGCCGAGGCCAGCCCCGCGGAGCGCGGGGAAGAAGGGGCTCTTTCGCGCCCCACCCCCCGCGGGTGGGCGTGGCGCGCGCGGCCCGTGCGCGCAGCCCTCCTCCCACCCAGAGGCCCCCGGGGCCGCAAACCCTTCGCGCGCGCGCGAGAGGCAGACAGCCACGGACATCTCGGCGGCGAGCGGGGGGGGGGGGAAGCGAGGAGGCCTTCTGAGGAGTGTCCTGCGTCGTCGGGGGAGGCTTCGAACACTGAGGCTGGGGGGCATCCGAGCCTTCTGAGAAGGCCCGTCCCCTCCTCTCACTTCCCCCCCAGGCTCGACGCCGGACGTCCAGAGTCGCGATCTGTTCGGTGAAGAAGTGGAGAAGGGTAAGCCAAGCGAGCCCAGCAGAGGGGAGAGGAAGCACATTCAGACTTGCACCCCTACGAGCGGAGGCCTTCAGCAAACGCACCGGACGAAAGACTCGAGGAGAACAGGACCGTTGAGTAATTGACCCCGGACTCTCAGCCAACGCCAGCTGTGAGGGTCGGGGTGTGTTTTCTCCCTTGACTCCCCAATCTCCTACGTCGTGGGTTTCCGCCTGGACACAAGATGAGAGGCCCCAACTCGGGGGTCTACGATCGGGAGGGCGCCCATCCTCGATAGGGGGGGCGCCTGAAAGGGCACCCCAGGGGGTATATCCCCGAGATTTCCATTCGTCGCCGAGCGGCCAACCATTGGGGGCGAGCTCGGAGATTGGGGGCGAGAAACTCCCCGTCGCTCGGACGTCCCTTCCCCGCGTGCGTGCACTTGTTCCGCAAGGTGGTCCAAGATTTACCAGCCTGGAACACATCACTATCCCTATGCTGGGCATCTCCTCATCACGATACCAACCTTAGGGATTCCCTCATTTTTTGAGGGCGCATCCCGAAGATCGTCGTCGCCCTTTGGCGTGCCAATCTTAGGGAGAGGGATAAGTTCGAGGCCGGTAAAAGATGCTCCTCGATGGCCCACGCCGACAAACAATGCACACGTCCGAGCGATGCCGAGGGCACGCGCCGAGCCGCTGGCCCTCGGCTGGAGCTCCCGAGCCCGTCCCCCCAGGGGGCGGCCGCTCTGCCCGGGCCGCCGTCTCCGGCGCTCCTCGGGCCCGGGGCGCGGCCTCCGGGTGCCGAGGGCACTGCAACGTGGCGTGCCGTCGGAGACACGGGCCAGAAGCACGTCTTTGGACGTCCAAAATAGGCACGGAAAGAAGGGGTACGATGCCCCAACCACAAATGTTGCCCCAAACCAGCAGCGGCCGCTGTTGGGCAGGCGGCCCTCTGTCTCAAATGTACACAGGCCGCGGCGACACCGACAGCGAGTCCTGTTCAAAATGAGCAAGAACTGCTGTTGGGCATTGTTCCCATTCTTTCCGTACCCATGTCGGGCGTCCAAAACATCCCTCCGGAACACGAGCCCCTTCGCCGGCGTACATATATACACATACACGCGCGCACACAAAACAAACATCCAACGGCACCCTCCCTCAGGCTGCACAAGAGAATCCCACAAGCACGCAGAACACTGGGGTACCCTCCCCGAACCGACCCTCCGTCTCATGCCTCGGTCCAGCTGCACCGAGCTTCACGAGTCAACGGAGTCCCCTGAAGCCTCGGGGGGCTCGAGGCGAGCAAACGAAACGCCGAAAAGAAAAACGATCGGACAAATAGTGGGAAATGGCCAAGGGTGCGGCAGCGTATCAGCTGCATTCCGCCAGCCTCCCCGGCGCTGGGAGCGACCACGTGTCGAGAAACGCGCGCTAGGCGGAGGGGCCAAAACCAGCCTGCATCCAGGGTTTCCGATCCCCCCGTTTTGCCTGCCCCGAAAAAGCCTTCGGCGGCGCGAACAGGGAGGTGGCGCGAAGTGGGCGGCCTTCTAAAGATGCGGGAGGTTTTTTTTGTGTAAGGGCCGAGCCCTCTTAGAAGCGCCAGGATGCAAGTAAGAAAGCTCCGGTACACGCCCGTCGGAAGAAGTTGGTAGACACAGAACGTAAACAGGCGGGTAAAGTAGATTGGGTTCGGGCCCGCCCGAAGAAGAGCAACAAACAACAAAAGCATACCGATTCTTGAAGTAGGAAGGTGCTTGACATAGACTGGGACCTGGGCATCCCAAGATACCTATGTTCAACAACCAGCGTGTAAGCCATCCGCATTCTCAGGAGCCCTCGCACGCTTCAAATGCCGCCCCCCTCGCGACACCATGTTGTGCGCGCCGCCAAAGCCTCGATTCTAGATCAACTCTCTCAACACACAAGGCGCTCCTTCGCATAGTATTCGTTCAAGATCTTCAACGCCAGCTTCACGCCTGCGGTGGCACCAGGCAGCTGACAACCCTCCGAGGAACAGAAACAGGAGGAGCAGCAGGAGGACGGAAAGGAGGAGCAGGAGGAGGAGGTAGGAGGGTAGGAGGAGGTAGGAGGATGTTTACAGCATCGACCACCGAGCAAACAAATAAGGCCTCCCGTGGGGCAGCTGGCCCGAGGGCGTCGGCGATGGGCTGCGGGCAAGCGGTTGCGCACGCTGTGCCCGCTTCCGCGTAAGCACGAGGCGCGGCGCCTCGAGATCACACAAAGAGCTGCAACGGCGAAGGCGCCGCACGACGGCCCGAGCCCTGGGCAGGGGCCGACTGCAGCTCGCTCGACGAACCCGCAGCCTGCAGAATGACCGAGCTATGCTCTGGGTGCCTGCCAGCAGAGGTGCAGCTCCCAGCGTGTACGCCCTTGTATCCTGTGGGAGGAGATAGGGCGAGGAGGGAGGGGAGGAGGTAGAAGGAGGCAGAGGGAGGCGGAGAAGGATGAGAGGGAGGCAGAGGAGGGAGGAGGAGCACGAGGATGCAGCAGGAGACACGAGGAGAAGGGTGACGAGGTAGGATGAGGATGGCGTAGGAGGAGCAGAGGGAACAAAAAGAGGATGGGGCAGGAGAGGGGAAGGGGTAGGAGAGGAGAGGGAAGAGGGACGAAAGGGGGTGAGAGGTAATGTGCGAGGAGGGAGAGAGGGAAGACATGTGGGAGGAGGAGGAGGAGGAGGAGGAGGAGGCGGAGGAGGAGGAGGAGGACGAGGCTGGCTGGGTGGTCCTCCAGCGCGCTCGGGCCCGCGGACCCGATCGGCGAGCAGGCGCGGTGTGCATGGATATCGGTCGCCCCGAACGACGGACTCATCCCTGCAAGGACCCCCACCCCGACAGGTCAGTGTAGAGGGCAGAAAATCCTTCCCGATAATTCCCACCCCGACACGCGAGGCTTTGAGCAAACGCGCCCGAAGAAAGAATCGAACAGGGCAGGGCTGTTTAGTAAACGCCCAGGGCCGTTTAGTAAACGCCAATTGTCCGGTCGGGGTGGTTGTCCCTCCCTTGACATTGTGGCAACATGAGGAACGAAAGAACTGTTCTGGTCACGGCGAGCTTCGGCCACGAGATCCGATCAGGCGGGCGCCTCGGTGCAGCCAGATAGGGGAGGAACCTTTCTCAGTCCACAGAGTCTACGGCTCCGCGCGCGTGGCGCCATGAAGGCGCGGCGGAGGGGGTGCGCCGAGACGCCTGCACGGCATGACTAGCGCGCATGACGGAAACAAAACACATGGGCAGTTTCCTCGGGAGGCCGCGACACACCCAGCGACGCAAGGGGAGGAGCATGACAGATCTCTCGCCGCGGGCGGGGCGCCCCCATGGCTCGCCCGAGAAGAGGGAGGATGCGGAGGAGGAGGAGGACCACTGGAAACCCAAGACGCATCAACGATGTTGCAATCATACCTCCCTCCAAGTTCCGTTCTCAAAGGCCCCTACAAAATGAATTATCATTGCGGGGCACGCCCCGTTGGACGACATGCATCCGAGAATTCTTAATCGTACTGAAACGTTGTTCATGGGACTTCCACGCCGCGAATCAACGTGACTGGTAAGTCCGGAGAAACCTAAATCGTGCCAGAACAACCGCCCTGTGACTTCAACAAAACGAAGCAACGTGGCTGCTGCGACCTGGCAATCCTGAGCCGTGCCAGGACACACGCAACGCTACGGCGAGGACCACCATTGAAAAATGAACCGCCCTCCATCCTTGCAGCTGCTCCTGCCTCTTAAACCGAATGGGTGCGCCGCTGAGGCGAGAGTCACATTTTGACGAGGACCCGCCCTCCGTGTTCGAACATGTTGCAAACATTAATTGCGCGTGTGAGCGGCGCCACGCCGAGAGCCACATGTTGAAAACAACCCGCCCTCCATCCTTCAATGTGGTGCAATCTAGATGGTGCGATACTCATGGTGCGATCGAGGTGGTGTAGAGCAGTGCAAAGCGACGCGAAGCACTGCAACGCAGAGCAATGCAGAGCAATACGAAGCAATACAAGCCAGAAGCAAGCACTGCAAAGCAAAGCGATGCGAGGCACTGCAACGCATTGCAAACAATGCAAATCAATGCACAGCCATACAACGAAATGCAACGTAATGTCACCCAACTCAAAGCACACATGCAAAGCACTGCAAATCAATGAAAATCACTGCAAAACAATGCGATACAACGCAAAACACTGTAGCGAATTGCACAGCAATTCAAAACCATGAAAAGCAATGTAGAGAAATGCAAAGCAAGCACGGCAAAGCACTGCAATGCGATGCAAAGCAATGCAAGGCATTTCAAAGCAACGGAAGGCAAAGCAATGCACGGTTTTCAACGCAATGCACCGCAATTGCAAAGCAATGCAAAACAGTGCAACACAATGCGGAACTATGAATAGCAACGCAGAGCAATGCACAACAAGGCAAAGCAGTCAATACGATGCAAAGCAATGCAATGCAATGCGATGCAATACGATGCAAAGTAACGCCGTTCAATGCAGAACAATAAAACAGCAACGCGAAGCGACGCAAACCAATGATAAACAATGCAAAGCAATGCAATGCAACGCAATGCGGTTGCAATGTAACGCAACGCGAAGCGACGCAACGTAATACGGATCATTGCAAAGCAATGCAAGGCAAAGCACTGTCATGCGATGCAAAGCAGCGCGACGCGATGTCAAGCAATGCATCGCGATGCAACGCACTGCAATGCCAGGCGATTCCAACACGATGCAGTGCGATCGCAAGTGTCTGCGACGGACTGGGGCCCAGCGGCGATGGGCGGCAGCGAGCCAGCTGGACCAGCACCGGGCCCCATCGGCGACGGCTGCGACGGGCGGCGACAGACGGCGACGGGCGGCAACGAGCCGGCTGGACTGGCACCCGAGCTCAGCTACCCTAGAAGACAAGTAAGAGCCCCTCAGGGCAAGCACTCCTTGGAGAATGCGGAAGAAGGAAGGAAGGAGGAGCAGGGCGAGGAGGAGAAAGAAACAACGCGCACGACGGTAAAGCCATGTTGACTGATGGCCCAGTGAATGCTGCTTTCGCAGTGTTTGCACAATCAGGCGGCAGTAGCCCCTGGGAGTTCACAACACTGACTGGGAGCTTTTGCCGCGGTGAGCCTCTATCTCGAAGAGGGAGGTGCGTATGCCATATCCCACGCGTCAGGGCCGCAGCCGAAGCCCTGCACAGGGCCAGCCTGGCCCCTGCATTCACCGACGCGGGAGGCAGCCCCACGGAGTCCTGGCACCGACGACGCGGGCATTTCCCTCCTGCGGTTGTCAGGACACGCGCACTGCCCCTAAGTGGCGCGGATCGTGGGGATCCTGGGGGAGCCTCGCTCGGGGCTAAACGCTTGGACTAGTACGCATTTGCACGCGGAGGCGGAGGAGGAGAGGTCAGGGGCACGGCGGGGATAGCACCAGGCATGCTGAAATATTGAGAGGATGGAGGGACTGGCGAGTCAGAACAGGATGCGTAACTTCTACTCTGAGCTGCTGGCCGTCATTTGTTCGCGGAATCCAGACGCACGCTGGAGCCGCAACTGATTAACGCAATCCTCGCCTCCGTCCTCGTACTCTGGGAATCGCTGGCGGTCAAACAAATGATTCCGTTGCGTACGTGCCCATGGAGCACTGTCATCTGCCAGGATGGACACTACGAAGTCCGAGTGGTCTGCTGCATCGAACTCGGCTCAATAATCTGGAACTACTACTTCAGCGGGACACCCAAGAAAATGCGAAACTCACGCCTCGTGTAGGCTGCTGGGGTTCAGCCGGGCTGGCGGATACTTTCCAACGAGATCCTGCGGAAGACTGAGTCCCGAGCCCACGCTGCGGTAAGTTGCTGGTCTTTACGATAGATGTTGTCCTGTCGGCAGAATCGCACGATATCGCGCTTCTGACACACGGTATGCCGGTGTGCGCGTCGTCGTCGCTCCAAGCGTCCGCAACTCTTTGTACCTCTTTGTTCCGACCGAGTCGCCGAACGTCAAGAGCACTATGAGCAAAAACCTCCCATGGCCCAGGAGTGAGGAGGGCTGGGCTCGTCATCATTTCCGCTGGCCTTCGCCTGCGCGTCGCACGCCCCACGGTCTGCTTGTTCGCCATGCGAGCGATTTTGGTCGACGTTCGCATCTACTGCTGAACGAGCAACAAAAGCAGTCCTCGGGGGGCCAGGACTAAACCTGATGATTATCGTTTAACCGATCCCCATCCCCAGCGGCGTGGCCTGGGCCCCACTGGCCGATTTACCCCCCTGGTTGGGGAGGTAGCCCGTCCCCTTCGGGCTTTGAGGGGTGTATCCCCAACTGGGGGGGGGGGGGTAATCTGGTGGGGCTCACGAAAGGGATGGGGATGGGGATGGGTATTGGTTAAACGATACCGACCTGACCAGCCCTGGACCCCGTGGAGCGCCGGCGGCACCGCGAGGCAGAGCACCTCCCCGACCCCCGCGGCTGAGCTCACGAGGGGGCAGAAGCACCACGCGTGCCGCCTGCGGGATGCTCGCGAGCACCAGCCGCGCCTGCTCCCGCACGTCCAGCAGCTCCGCGCCGACGGGGCCCGACGTCGGCCAGCAAAAGAGCCTGCCGCTGGCGCACGCCGAGGCCATCCACAAGGCCCGCGCGACTGGCGCCGCCTCCGCGCCGCCAGCTGCTGCCGCCGCAGGAGGAGGGGAGGAGGAGGAAGAGAAAGAGGAGGAGGAGGAGGAGGCGGAAAAGGAGGAGAGGAGGAGGAAAGGGAGAGGAAGAGGAAGAGGAAGAGGAAGAAAAGGAGGAAGGAGGAGGAGGAGGAGGAGCAGGAGGAGGAGGAAGAGGGGGGGAGGAGGAGAGGAGGAGGAGGGGAGGAGGAGGAGGAAAGAGGATGAGGAGGAGGAGGAGGAGGAGGAGGAGGAGGAGGAGGAGGAGCAGGTCGAGGCCGAGGGGAGGGAGCGGCGGGCACCGCCGAAGCCGACACCGCCGCGGGCCTCTGCTGCCGCCGCCGCACGGGCACGCAGGGCCCTGCCTCTGCGCCAACGGCGACGGCGCCAATGGCCGTGCCCGCCCAGGCGTCGTCAAGCCCGTCGTCGTCCTCGGCGCCCGAGGCCGCAGCTCCACCGCCACCAGCGTCGCCACAGCCACGAGCGGCCTTGCGCGCCTCCTCCTTCCGTAGGCGGCGGCGCCACCGCCACTCCGCCCCTCCCTCCCTCCCCCCCCTCCCTCCCCTCCCTCCCTCCCTCGCCCCCTCCCTCCCTCCCCTGCAGCAGCCTCGGAGCGCGGATGGCGGGAACCTGTGGCCGCAGCAGCATTCTGCGCTGGCCGATCGGCGATCGCCCGCAGCGATGCCGATCAAGCCGAGCGCGCCAGAGCAGCGACAGCCGCCGCGGCGCTCCAGCGAGGACTGCTCTGCAGACAGCCGCCTCCACCGTGGAGGCTGCATCAGGCGCAGTCGAAGCTCCTCTAGGCCGCGCTGTCCTGCCCGCGGAGAAGAAGGAGAGCGAGGCCTTGCGAATTGAGCCAGCATGGCTTGAGCCAAAGCGGCTTGAGCCAAAATGGTTACGGACGAAGGGGGAGGGAAGATGATGGAGGAGAAAGCCAAAACTTTGGGACTGAACTATTCGTCAGGAACTGCACGTGTCGTACAGCCCTGGGGTGGCAAGCACATCGGGTACGATATAGGCCAAATTGCCAGTGACTTGCCGCCCCGCCGGCAACCCTCACTGCAGCCTCGCCCATTTGTCTGCTGGTGCGGGGGCTGCGCTGCCGTGGTCCACCTGCTTTAACTGTTATCAACCACCGTATGCTCGACAATGAGCGGCAGGGCCAGCGAGGGATCAACCGACGAGAATCGCGCAACCGGGGTACACCCAGGAACCAGGTGATCACAATCACAGATCGAACCCAATGATTTCTGCCGAGGAGTAGGCACAACACACCAATGGACTTTCATGCAGCCTGGCACCGCCACTCCGCAGAAATGCAGGAACCTTAGCGCAGCGGACGCCACAACAGTGAGCCATGATTCAGACCACAGTGCAAGCGGATACAAAGGAGTTGACCTTCTGCCAGGCGTGGGCCAGAGACCCCGAGGACGTCAGTGCCACATAACACAGGCAGGAGGAGGGAGGAGAACGGAGGAGAGAGGAGGAGGGAGGAGGGAGAAGTTGAAGGACGGAGCAGGAGGATCGACGAAGACGACGACAGAGACATGAGGAGCGGAGGCCATGGAGGGGATCCGGCGCCTTCGAGCCCCTCCTCCATCTCTGCCCTGTTCTTTTTGTACAGGGTGTTCTCCTAGCCGCAGGGAGCGATCGAAGAAAAAGGACCCCATCTGCCTGATCAAGCCAGTTGGATCCTCAGCCCCATCCTCCACCAAACGCAGAGATGTCTCCCACTGTGCCAGCGGCGCGTTGGGGCATCTCAGAATGCTTGTCTGTTCTATGGTCGGATTCCTTGAGTGCTTCTTAAGGCCGAATCTCCCCCCACCGTCGTCGCACGCGTTGTCAGAAAATCGCCCCCGCACAATGCTGCTCTTTGGTGCCGCTTTCGGCATACAGGCGACTCCAAGATAGCCTAAGACTGTTCTTGATCGGATGCAAACGCCCAAATATGACCCAAGAGACCCCGAGAAGTCTCCAGGAGATCCCCAAAGTGACCTCCAGCGAGGCCCGGAGGACAAAAAACGCTGAAAACCATGGGGACATCGGTGCATTCTGTTACCGATGCTTTTCGGCTTCAGATCGCCTTCAAGGCTTCAGAAAGCATCCAAAACACCCTAGACGGCTTTGACGGCTTCAATGGCGCCCGCAAGACAATTCCAAGAACGTGGTTTTCAGCTTTGGGACGGCACCAAGACGGCCAAATGCCGCCCGAAAACGGCTGCAACTCGCTGCGTGGCCACCCAAAGACCGCCGAACGCACCCCAAAAAGATCAAATACCCTCCCAGGATGCCCCCGGTAGGCCTCAAAAGGCAGCCAGGGGAGACGCCCGCAGAGGCCAGCAGCGAAGCCCTCAGAGGCGGAACGACGGTGAACATCCGAATTGAATGTATACCCAATTACGGTGGGGGCATTTTTTTTTTATCTGTGTAGGCGCCGCGCGAGCACGGCGGTTTCATGCACGCATTCAAAGCCGCGGGGCCAGCGCGGGGTCCCGCGGGGTCCCGCGGCGCCCGCTCACCGCCCGATCACCTCCATGAACGAGGCGCAGAGCTGGGCGAGGTCACGGTCGCGGCGCTCTCGATCCAGGCGCGCACGCCGCCGTACGAACGGCTGCTGGCCCGTGGCCTCTGCAGAAACCAGCAGAAGCCTGTGGGCCGAGGCCGTCCAGTCCAGCTTCTCTGCCAGGCAGTCCTCCTGCAGCAGCTCCTCGTCATCGCGCGCGATGCACTGCTGCCCAATCTCGGGATCGGCACCGCCGTCCCCTTGGCTGCCCTGGTCCTCCGTGAGGCCGTCGAGCGTCTCCTGCATCTCGCAACTGCCGATGCTCTGCTCGCTGCCGAGAAGCTGCGCGTGCTGGCCGTCCTTGCCGAGCGTCTTCGTATCGAAGGGCTCCCACTGGCTGTAGACCACCGCGCCGCATGTGCAGCGCAGGCCAGCCGCCGCCTCGCCCATGCCGCGCAACGGCTCCCAGCTTCCCGCACCTGGAAAGAAAACTGGGCTTTCCCTGCGGAGCTGCACGCCGCGCGCCTCCTGCCGCAGCGCCCGCGGCGGCGCCAGCCTCGCGGACTTCTGGAAGCGCCTGAGCTCCCTGCCGCTGGCCGCCGCCCGTGGCGCGACTGCCGAATGTTCAGAAACATTCCGCCGCAGGATGTCCACGTCGGTGAGCGGGGCGGCCGCCACGCCATCGCGGGCCTCGATCTGGGCTCGAAGAACCGGTTCGATGCCCATCCACCGCTGGCGCAGTTCGTCTGCATGAGGGTCAGGGTGATCCCCGTAGCCCAGGTGCCGCAGCAGCTGGTTGAACTCCGACGTCTTGTCCCGCAGCTGCTCCTCGAGTGCTCGAACTTGAGCACGAGCTGCTGCAAGCCCCGCGTCGGCTGCCACCAAGGCCCTCCTCCGTGCTGCCGTCCGCGTCGCTCTCGATCGCCGGCCGCATGCTTCTATGCTGGAATCGCCGCAATGGGGCGACTCCGCCCGTGCCATCCCAAGCGGTCCCGCGCGCGCTGAAGCGGGCGGAACACAGGCTTGAGCCAAAATGGCTACGGACGCGGTGGGGGCATTGGATAATGAACCCTTCGATAAGGAACCCAGGGTCTGGAAGCCAGTGGAAAGCCCATCGTGGAACCCAGGGTCTGGAACCCATGGATATCACCGCCGCCCTCATAAAATAAAGAACCCTCCAGGGTCTGGCGCATCCAGGGAAAGTTTCTTAAAGAACGCCCCCCACCGTATTGTGCCTTTCGAGACTAGACGGTTTCCTGCAACGCGTGGCGCTGACGGGCGAATGTGCGCTATGCGAATAGAACTTGGCACCGTCATGAAGCAAACGTGACGCGTCTATCGTAGGATTGCTGTTTGGAGTCTCGATCGGAGACGCCCCTCCTGCTCTCTTCTTGCTGTTTTCTCTTGCCTGCTGCCTTCTTGAATCGCACGGTTTCATCCGCAACCTGCGCCTGCACAGCCGAACCGTGAAACGTCCGATCAGGCCAGGCTCCCATCCCCTGCTCCAAAGATCAATGTTCGGTATGGTTCGTGTTTTCGAGCACCTCGGCTATTCGAACGAGTCAGCGACCGCTAGCGCTGCGGACCAAACAAGTGTTCAGACATCTCCCGAAAGAACTCATCAATCGCTGCGCTGTGAAATCGCGTCAGATAGCGTTGCACTTCCGGGCTACAGAAACTGCAACATCTCACGATCCAACGTGGCAATTCCTTTACGCCGCGCACTGCCGCGTTCGCTGACCGCACTACGGGCTTGCTCGGAGCAAGGGAGGCCCTCAGAGGCGAATCACTGTTGAACATCATAAGTAATATCATATATATGTATATGTTTGTATATATATATATACATATATATGTACATATATATATATGTATTGGCACTACTTGTATGCCTCCACGACTAGACAACTTCAGTTTGCCTCTGGCAAGCTTGAGAGAGCCCCAAGGGCCCGAAACTGACCCAAGAGACCCCGAATGGCCCCGAACCTGCTCAAGAACCCTCCAAGACGACCCAAGAGGGTTCGAAGACGCCTCAAAGACCAACCCAGACATCCCTCGACAGAGCCCCTGGGAGAGCTCGGCCGAATCATTGCTCCCAAGATGGCGCGAAGACCCCCGACGAGCACCCAAGAGGCCTCCGAGAGGTCTCAAGAGGCACTCAAGAGGTCCAAGGGGGCTAAAGAAATTACAAATGCGCCTTAAAACAAAACGCGAGGACGAATGAGGACGTAAGAGAAACAACTTGCGTACAAAGAGGGGGCCATACGGTCACCAGTTCAAACAAAGCACTGAACTGGAGCGGATTCAATCTCGACCTCGTTCCTGCTGCGCTGCTGCGCTGCTGCGCTGACACGGTGGCAAAATCTGCCGCAAGCAATTGGATACGAATGTGCAGCTGCTAGACGGATGAATGGGCACCACCTCCTTGTCCAAACGGAGCCATCGCCGGACACTGCCCAGACCCTCGTGATCAGGCCCGTTCGTGTTCCTTCTGGCGAAACGAATCATCCTCCTCGTGGTGCCCGTACAGCGCTGAAAGTCAGGTCGGAGACGAGCAGGACAAGACGATGGAATCACCACAGCTGGGGCTATCATGCATGGAATTCAGCTGGGATCTCAACGTAGCCGCGACTTGCAACTCAGGTGATCACGATGGCCCAGCACGGTCCGGGCTCCTCCTCCTCCTCGTCCTCCTCGTCCTCCTCGTCCTCCTCCTCCTCCTCTTCCTCCCTGTCTCCCTTCTGTTCCTCCTCCTCCTCCTCCGTAGCCATTCTGGCTCAAGATGTGCGGCTCCCGCGGGGGCCAAACGGATACCGCTGGTCCGCGGCAGCTTTCGTTTCGAGCGGCCGGTCCCCTCAGGTTCGGACCATCGCCTGTGCCAGCGCGCGGGCCGCTCCTGGCGTTGGCGGGCACTGGAGGCGCTGCGGGGGCGACAACGAGTGCAAGATGGCTGGCGGCGTGCCGCGGGCCAAGGGTGCTGTGCGGCAGGACTGGACGTGCAAGTCCTGCGTCAGCAAGAGAGGGCGAACGGTCGTCAACTGGGGAACGGCGCTCAACTGTCAGGGCTGCAGGCTGCCCAAGGCCACGTGCTTCGGGGCGAACGTCTCGCTCCCTGCGGCGGCCAAGTCGAAGTCGAAGTCGGGTGCGGCGCCGGGGCGGCGGCAGCGGCAAGGCCCCTCCCTGGGCTGGGCCGCCGCTGTCGGTGCCGAAGCTGCGGACCTCAAGAAGCAGCTCAAGGCCAGTGGGCCTGCCAGCGCTGGCGGGCCGCTCGGCGGGGCGCAGGCCATGGAGGTCGGCGTCGGCGAGGGCGCTGGTGCTGGCGACGCGGCGGTGCTCGCCGAGATCCACATGTGCGAGTCGGGCCTGCACACCATCAAGGATCAGACGGCGGACTGGGCCACGCCGACGCGGGGGGAGCTGCGCGCAAGGCTAGAGAAGGGCAAGGCGCGGCTCTTCGCCAGCAAGCCACTCCACGCACGGACGCACGACATCGCCAACAATGCCAAGCAGTGCGCCGAGCGCCTGGAGAAGGCGGAGGGCGGTCCACCCGAACGAGGAGCAGCCAGTGCCAGCGGAGGCGCAAAAGCGCATGGCAGGCGCGCTGGGCGCGCGCGTTGCGGAGTTGCGCGTGTCCAAGCGGGCGCGGCGCGAGGAGGCCCCCGCCGAGGAGCAGCGCCAGCCAGGACCTCGCCAGCACCGCAGGAGAGGTGCGCGATGGCGCAGAGCGGGAAGGGCAGTCCTAGCCTGCGCCCGAGGCAACAATGCCTGGAAGCGGCAGCGGCCCAGCCGTCGTGCCGCACTGGCAGCCTGGGGAGGAGTCGGTGGAGCAGCTCCAGCAGCGGCTGCGGAAGCATGGCCTGGAACGTGAAGGCGGCGAGGAGTCAGCCGTGCGCGCCCGCTGCGCTGCGCTGGCCAGCGGAGGCTTCCAGCCTTGCCAGGATCCTGCTGATCCTCAGCACGTGGTTTGGCGCCATGGCGAGGGGCATCATCTTCGCGGCGAACGTGACGGCGGGGGCGGGGTCCTTGGCGCTGTGCGTCGAGGGCATCTGCGAGCGGGCAGAGGCATTGGTCCTCCTGGTCCAGGGGCATCGCGCCAGGGACCACGACACGCTGGCCGCACTGCAGCAGGCCATGCTGACCGCGGGTGCGCGGGGCTCTGGGCGCCAGCGGTCCAGGGCCCCCGCGGCGAGGCAGGCACCTCTGGCGGGGTGGCGGTGCCTGCGCGCTCGCGCATCATAGTCACCAGCCCGCTTTTCCTGGAGAGCCCCGTGCTGCTGGCCGCGCGTCTGGTGGCCGCCCGTGTGAACTGGGGAATGGCGGGCGGGTTCGTCGCCATTTCTCCGAACTTCCACGACAGTGCGGGGTGGAAGGCGGACAACCAGCACGTGGCGGCCGTTCTCATGAAGTACCTGGCCAAGCTCAGCGCGGCTGGGATCAACTGGGTCGTGGGCGGCGACTTCAACGTGGAACCCGAGAAGTTTCCTGCGCGGCAGCTCCACGGGGTCCGTGGGCTGTGGGCGGCGGCAGAGGATGCCACCTGCAGGTCGCGTGCTGGGGCCTGGTCGGCGCTGGACTACTTCCTCTCGCAGCCAAGCTTGCCCCGAGGCTTGGCAGGCCGCGGGTCGACGAGCACGGCGCGTCGCACTGGAGATGCACGCGCAGGACCTTCCGATGCAGGCACGGGCGGCGAGGGGCCCGCAGCCGATCGGCCCTGCACCGCCGTGAGCTGCAGCCGCGGCGCCGAGGGCTGGCGCGGGCCCCTGGCCAAGGTGCGCGCAGCCGTCAGCCGAGAGCACCTCCCTGAGGCATGGGGCGACGTGGTGGCCACAGTCGAGCAGGAACTCCTGGACCGCTACGACGTCGTCGGGCATGACAGGACCGAGTGCGTCAGCAGGTCCGGCGCTCTGGAGACGACTCTCGTCGTTGTCAAGTGGCGACCCCCTCGACGCAGGACCGCGCATGGTCGCCAGGCCGCGGCGTGCCGCGTGGCGTCGAGGCGGGCTGGGCACCTGGTGGGGGTCGGGGCGTGCGTCGCCAAAGCGGTCCGCCAACTCCGCGGCGCCAGCCCCCTCTGCTCGCTGTTCGAAGCCCAGTTTGACAAGCTGGCGGGGCCCCTGCTGGAGGCGGCGGCGTACCTCGACAAGATCATCGCCAGCCGAGGCCGCTGGCGCTCCTGCCACACTGGGTGTAGGACTTCTTCGGCCAGCGGATGCTGGTGTTCGCGCAGGCTGGCTTCGCGGGACAGTCGTCGAGGCTCGTGCAGTGCGCTAACGGTCAGTATGCAGCGGCTCTCGCGGCGCAGCAAAAGGAGTGGGTCAAGTGGGCCGACGGGTCATTATCCCACGGGGCTGGCCGCGCCCATCGGTGCTCCAAGGTCAGGGACTTGCAGGAGGTGGTCACTGCCTGGCATAGCCAGCAGCAGGACGCGAGCCCGCGTCTGGTGTGCGATCTGGAGATGCAGCCGCGGGCAAAGGTGCGGCGGCGCCATGGGCTGCCGCAGGCGCGCAGGCCTGCGGACATTGAGGAGTGGGATGCGCCGCCCGAACTCACCGTCGACAAGATGAAGAAAGCGGCGCTCTCATTCCCCACGGGCACGGAAATGGGGCTTGCCAAGAGAGGCATGCGTGCCCTGTCTTTCCTGTCCGAGGACGGCATTTATGTTTGCGCGCGGCTCCTCATGCGCATGGAGAAGTTGGGCGCGTGGCCTGAGGGCCGCCTGTGGCACGCCATGCGTCGGCTGCCAAAGCCCTCTGGAGGGCGCCGCCTCATCGCGATCACGCATTATTTGGTGCGCTGGCGGTCGAGGGCGCGGGCGGACATCTCCAAGGGCTGGCTCGCGCAGCACCCGAGCGTCGACATCTGGGGGCTCGGCGCGGGCAGGTCGTCGTCTGATGCAGCGCTCGACCTAAACCTCGAGACCGAGGTAGCGGTCGCGTTGGAGGGGCAGGTGGCCGCCGTGCCCCTGGACGCCTGGAATTTCTTCGAGACGGTGATCCTCGAGGACCTGATAAAGGAGGCGCGGCTGCTCAAGATGCCGCTGCCGCTGGCCTGGCTTGTGGTGGAGCTCCACAGGCAGCCCTGGCGGCTGCAAGCGTTCGGCTCGGTGTCCTACGAGGTTGTGTCCTACCAAGGGGTGCTGGCTGGATGCATGCGCGCGCGCTCGCGTCGGTGCCGATGCACCGCGCGCTGGAGCGGGCGCGCTGCATGGGCGTCACTCCCAGGGCCCCTCGTAGACGACGTCGCCCTTCAGTGGGCCAGGACCGCGGGAAGCAACGCCGGCGTCCTGTGGGCCGCGGTCACGCGCTTCCGCGAGGAGGCCAAGAAACTGGGCATCATCGCGCAGCCCGCCAAGTCTGGCTACGTGCCCTCGTCCACGGGCCTAGCCGCAGAGTGCAGGAATCATGCGGGATCCCGCGGCCTGCAGCTGCTACACTGGGCTCGCGATCTAGGGCATGACCTTGGAGGAGGCAGGATCCAGCGACGGCAGACCAAGCTGCGGCTGAAGGCGCTGGCGCGGCGGCGCGGGCGCCTGGCGGCGTTGAAGCGCGCTGCTGGCCGCCAGGTCACCCTGCTGCGGCGCGCGGGGCTGCTCCCTAGCGCCGGCCACGGCGCGGGCGTCGCGGGCCGACGATGAGCTGCAGCGGCTGCGGGCTGAGGCCAGCCGGCTGGCGGGGGCGCAGCCAGGCCCGTCGGGCGCGACGATCTACCTGGCCACGCAGCGCGGCGCGAGGTTTGATCCAGTCTACGAGGCGACGGCGGCGCTCGTGGTCAGGTACTCCAGCCGGGTCTGGGAGCAGAGGACATCGTAGGGCAAGCTCCAGCGTGCGTAGGCCTCCATCACGCAGCGGCTGGTCGAGAAGCCGACGCGGGGGCCGGCGGGCGGCCCGATTGCCTCGACGACGCTCACGCTCTGGAGGATCGGCTGGCACATGCGGTCTAGCCTGGCGCTGGTCACTGACGAGGAGCAGCACATCAACCTGCTCGCCACCTCGCCGTCGGACCTCAAGGCTTACCTCGTCGAGGGGGTCAGCCGCTGGCAAGGGCGACAGATCCTGGGCCACTTCGGCGGCGCGCAGCCCACGGGGCCGATCTGGATGCGGGCCCCGAGGCTGTGCGCGGGCGGCGGTTGTCGAAGGGCCTGCCGCCGCCAGCCTCAAGGCCCACGGGGCAGGCGCGCCGTGGACCCGGCAGGGGCAGCTAGACGTTGGGGCCGCCCCCGATGGCAGCTGTTTGGCGCGCGGAGCGGAGGCGGGCGCCCCTGCAGGCTGTGCGACTGCGCGGCCCTGCTGCGCGCGCGCCAGGCTAGCCCCCGGCGAGCTTGGCACGGCGCGCTTCGTTGCGAATAGGTCGTCAGTGGAGCGGGGCGTCCTCCTCGACCGACCCCGGCAGATATGGGCTACTATGCGTGACGAGGGCCTGCAGGCAGGTGGCGTGGGGGTCGCGGACTTCAGCGGGTTCGCGCACGAGGTCGGGCCCCCTGCGCCGCCGCCGCGCGTGCCGCCTGCGGCCGACGAGGCGGGAGTCAGGCTGCGGGGTGACTGGAGCGGCGCGAGCGACGAGCAGCGCGGGAACATTGCGTTCACGGATGGCTCGGGTTTCGCGAGCAGCATGCCAGAGCTGTGGCGCTGCGGGCGGTCGCTGGTCCAGCTCAGCTCCAACGGGGCGCCCGTTCGCGCGGCCTTCGGGGCCCTTCCTGGCGGCCTGCAGACGGTTGGTCGCGCCGAGCGACACGCGCTCCTGCAGGTCACCGAGCTCCCGGGGCAGCAGGCGCGATTCGTGGCCACTGACCTGCTGGCGCTGGCCCAGAAGGCTCGCAGCTGGGGGCCAGAGCTGGAGCGAGCAAAATCGGTGCCCGCCACGGCGTGGAGGCGCGGCAGCAGCCATGCCGCCCCCAGGTGTTCCGGGCCCCCGCGCACCAGGGCGTCGACGGGCACCTGGCGGCGGGGCTTCACCCAGCGCTGTACGCGGGCAACCTGTGGGCGGACTGGTTCGCCGAGCAGGGGGCCTCGCAGCACGCGGTGTCCCAGGTGCACACGGAGCCCCACGCAATCGAGGTGCAGTACTTCAAACAGGTGGCGGACTACATCGGATGGGCCAGGCAGCGCTGCCTGGCCATCGGGGACTGGGCCCCCGAGGCGCGCTGCGCGCCCGCGGCGCCGCCGCCGCCCGTGCCGAAGCTGACGGCGGTGGAGCGCCCCCCCGGTGCGCGCGCAGGGAAAGGGCGGAATGTCGCGCACCGAGCGCGGGCGCAGATCCCGCACTGAGGCAGGCGCGGCGGCCCAGCAGTCTGCGAGGTCGAGCTGTTTGCCGGCGCCGCTGGCACGCCTCAAGGCGGCGGCTATGGCGGCGCATTTCGGCGCGGGGCCATACTGGATGGGCGGCGCCGAGGGCCTGGATGCTGAGGCGCGGCAGCAGTGCGACGGTGGCAAGCCCTGTAAGCTGGCGCAGAGACCGAGCCCTTGGTTTCACGAGGGGAGCAGCGGTGGTGCTGCGCTGCACCTCGGGCATCGGCTGCGGCGCGCGGGGCCCGCCATCTTCTGCGAGGTCTGGGTCGCGTGGATGCAGGCCCGAGTTGCGAGGGGGCTGCAGAAGGCGTGCTGCAGGCCGCCCACCGAGAAGGGGCACTACCAGCGCACCTACGTCAGCAACCTGGCGGCCAGGAGGGACAGGCTGCTGCGTGGTCGGGGCCCCAAGACGGGCAGGTCATGGGCGACGGGTACGCTGGTGCACGACGAGCGCAGTTCGGCCGACGAGAGCTCCGAGGAGGGCACCGACGAGGTGGTCGTGGCCCATGGCTATGCGGAGGCCCCGCTGGCGGACGCGCAGGGGACCGCGACTGTAGGGGGCCGCGACACGCGGGGCTCCTGTCCCGCCGAGAGGCGGGCGCACGGAGGCCAGCCGCCTGCTTGCGGAGGTTGCGGCGCGCCGTAACACTTGCGCGGCGCCGTCGCCGTCCTGACAGGAATGGCTGGAGGCGCTGCGGCGGCGCGCTGCGACGCGCGAGGCTGGCCTGGCGGGCGCTGCCGCTGGTGGGGCGGGCAGTGATCCCAAGGCGCAGGTCGTGGGGGCGTTGGCCGACACGGGGTGCGCTGTTGGTGATCGCGCCGAATCATGGGCAGTGCGGAGGCAGGCACTGCTGCGGCGGCTCCAGGCGCGGGCCGAACGGCTCTGCGGGGGCGCTTGGGCGGCCCCCAGGGAGGCGCCTGCGGGCTCTGCCGCGCGGCTGCGGCGGCGCGGCATCCGCGTGGCGCGGCCGCCGCCCAGGGCGGCCCTGCCGCAACGGCCGCCGCGGCCGTTGGCCCTGGAGCGCAGGTTGGACCACTGGGGGCGGTGGTGGATCGATACGCTGCTCGACGCCGACGGTGCGGCCAGCGACTGGCTCGAGCATTGTGTTCCGTACGCGGAGGCGGTCCTCGCCCAGCCCAGGTGGCGGCGTTTCCTCAGGGCGATGGGCAGCACGGCCCAGCAACTGGCGGAGGCGTGGTGCCGCCGCGAATGGCGCCGCGGAGCGAGGCTGCGCGGTGCCTGCGCCAGGTATCGCTCGGGCCTCACGCTGAGCCAGCGGTGCGTCACCGACAGCATGCGGAGCCCGCAGCTAAGTGGCGGCGCCTGCGGGCCTGCCGCCCGCGCTGGGCTGGGCTCGGGCGGTGCGAAGCAGGCCGCGGCCTGGGGCGGCGGCGGCGCCACGCGTGGGCCAGGGCCGCCTCATCGCGCAGGCGGCGTCGCAGGAGCACAGCGGCGGCGAGGGCAGCGACACGGGCGAGGGCGTTGCCTGAGCGCGCCCTGTCGCTGTCCCTCTGCGCGCCCAGCGGCGGCGGCGGCGCGTCGCGCTGGCCGCAAGTCGCATCCCCCAGCCGCGGCGGCGAAGGTGGCTAGGCGGCGGCCGCCATGTCAGCGGCGCGGTCCACCTCGCGCAGGTCGTGTGGCGCCGCGGCGCAGGCGGTGACACGGTCGCCGTGTCGTTCGGCCTGGCCTTCGACCTCATCTGAAGTCCCCCGAGGCGCTGTTTGCTAGTCAGACGGCACCCTCAGGCTCCTAATCTCCTCACCTCCTGACCTCCTGACCTCCTCTTCCTCCTCCTCCTCCTCGTCCTCCTCCTCCTCCTCCTCCTTCTCCTCCTCCCTGTCTCCTCCTCCTCCTCCCTGTCTCCTCCTCCTCCCTGTCTCCTCCTCCTCCTCCTCCTCCTCCTCCTCCTCCTCCTCCCTGCCTCCCTCCTGCTTCTCCTCGTCTTAGGCCTCCGCATATCGGGCGCGCTGAAGGGGGGGCCAGGAAGACGGGGGTTAGCGCATCATGGCCCAAGGCATGCTGCATGGGCGCGGACGGGAGGGGGGCAGGGAACGTGCTGAAATAATAAGAAGAAACAGCGTACTCATAAAACATAATAAGACAAACAAGAAGACGAATACTAATAAGAAACATAAAAATAAAAGTAATAATGATAAGACACATGATAATACTAATCAGCAAATAAAGAAATAAATAAATATATACATAAATGAATAAATAATGCTAATACTAATACTAATACTAATACTAAAAATAATACTACTAATACTAATAATAATAAGAAGAAGAAGAAGAGGGGGCATGACATTGGATTTCATGGCCCCGCTAGTCCTCAACCCCCTCTTGGACGCCCTTGGACATCCTCCTTTCTTCCCCTCCAGTGGCAACACATGGGAAGCTGGCATGGCATCGTGCTGGCTCTTGCGGGTCGACGTTCACCAACACTTGCCGACGCACATCGACGCTAAACCGGTGCTCAACATGAATTGCCAGACGCCAGCGCAATCGAATGCACTCTAGAAACGGAATTACGAGAATACGCAAAGCAGCCATGAGTTGCTACCATATCCAACCAACCCCAAGAGCGGCGGCGCGCCCTAGTAACAGCAAGAGCAGGAGCAGGGAAAGCAAGGCGCAGCGGAAACCCGAGACGGACCGAACGGGCACCCGAAACGCCAAACTCCCACCAGCAGTTTGTGCGAAGGTAGTCTAAGAATATGTGTCTTTCCTCTTCCCAAGCCCTCTTCCATTCGGGAAGAGGTACCCTCCCCCTCCCCTCCCTGAGTTGTTTTTTGGGGGAGGGGGTCGCGAGGTGGCAGGGGGTATTTGTTCGACCAAGATGTCTCCAAGAGGGCCTCCGATGCTTCAAGAGGGCTGACAAAATGGCTTCAGAAAGCCGAAGATGGTTAAATACTGCTTTCGACATACCTCCAAGAGGCCCGACGAGGGCCACAAGACCAGCCCAAGATGCCAAAATCAATCAAAAACCTGCCCCAAGATGACCCAAGAGACTTCCGAGAGGGGCCCAAGAGGCACCTAAAAAGGACCCAAGAGCGCCCAAAGAGGCGATCTTGATGACCCTAGGTGGGGGGAGAAGGGAAATTTAGGACCACCCCTCCTCTGATGAGGGCCCCAAGAAAGCCCCAAGAGCGCCCAGGGGCGCCCCACGAGCGTCTGACGATGGCCCCAAAGAGTCGGTTTGCCTCCTCCTCCTCCTTCTCCTCCTCCTCCTCCTCCAATCCATTTCCTTATGAATAGCTCCTCCCTGTCGCGCCCCGAGGCCGGTCGAAAGGGCGGACCGGGCGTTTCGCCTCAGACTTCCTCACAATGTATGACCATGAAGCTTCAACGTTGGCAGCAGTTTCACCGATGGAAGGCGGTTGGTTTCCAAAATGTGGCTCTCGCCTTAGCGCCGAGCACATTCGCTTTGAACATTGGCAAAGCTTCACGGGTCGAGGGCGGGTGGTTTTCACAGTGTGGTTCTCGCCTGAGCGCCGCGCACATTCGTCATCAACATTGCCACGCATGGAGGGCGGGTGGTTTTCAAAATGTGGCTCTCGCTTTAGCGCCGCACACATTCGTCATTCAAACTTGCAAGAATTTTGTTGGTGGTGGGTGTGCCGTTTTTAACTGTGGCTCTCGCCTTAACGCCGTCATATTCGTCTTAAACAAATGCAAGAACTTCACGGATGGAGGCCGGGCTGTTTTCAAACTGTGGCTCTTGCCTTTGCGCCGCGCACGTTCGTCATAAAACATGGCAAGAGTTTGACGGCTTGAGGGCGGTTCGTTTTCAACATGTGATTCTTAACGTAGCGCCGCGCACATTCGGTTTTAAACAATGCAATAATTTCACGGAGTCAAGACGCAACGGCCACGTTGATTCGGGTCGTTGGAGTCCCGAGAATGGTGTTTTGGCACACTTCAAGGCTTCAAACGGTCGACTCCCAACGGGGCACTTTCCTGAGTGAAAATGAAATCTTGTAGGGGGCCTGTGAAGAGGGGGCTTGGAGGGAGGGTTTATTCCAAGATCTTTGATGCATCGTGGGTTTATACTGGTCCTCCTCCTTCTCGTCCTCCTCCTCCTCGTCCCCCCCCCTTCGCCCCCCGCGGGCCCCAGGGATGGCCCGAAGAGACCCTCCGAGGCCACCCCCTTGCTCCCAGAGATCTCTCTGTTCATCCTGGTTGCCTGCTTTGCTTCACATCACTGTGTGTGTCTCATCGTCCCTGTTCCCGTCAGCTCTCATGAACTGCGCCAAGTGAGAGACGATCAGAAACGGGCCTTGCGCAAGGTGGCATAGCGACCTTACGTCGCAGATTGTACGGGCCGCCAGCGCGGCGCACTTCACGGGAGACGAGAGCGCGCATGCGCGACCTTCCGCGGGCAACTTGCGCGCCAATGCAGGCGCAGTCAAACCCGCCTTTCTGCGTCGCTCCAGCGCGAAAGGGTAAAGCACACCTCCTCCCTTGCCCATCGCTCGGACGCTCAAGTCGAATGCATGTTTCGATATCGTGCTTGTTTTTTCTTCGCAAGATGATCCGACATCCTCCTCGATGGTCCTGGCCGAGCACACGTCCGAGCGATGCCAACCTCCCGACCCGTCGCTAATACACGCGTCTTAAACCCATGTCTGCGCTGCCTCGATCCTTCCTCCCTCCCCCCCCCCTCCTCCTCCTCCTCCTCCTCCTCCTCCTCCCTCCCTCCCTCCCTCCCTCCCTCGCTCCCTCCCTTCCTCCCTCCCTCCCTCCCTCCCTCCCTCCTTGCACCCCTCCCTCCCTCCCTCCCTGCCCCCCTCCCTCCCTCCCTCCCTCCGAGGGGCGGCGGCGCGCCCAGCCTTCTCCCGCAGCCTGGCCATGTCCGCCTCGCCCGGTGTCAAGGGAGGAGGGATGACGAGGAAGAAGGGATGGCGAGGGAGAGATGACGAGGGAGGAGGGATGACGAGGGAGGAGGGAGGAGGTAAGAGGAATCGAACAACTACACAGGTCCACCTCCTTCTTCACCCCACCCTCCTCCCCTGACTGTTCCCTTCCGTTCGGGGAGGGGGGGGAGGAGGAGCGATGTGGATCTGTATAGCAAACTCTAGACAAAAATACGCCCCTGGGGATAAGAAAGTTCGGGAGTCTGGCGGGGATAATCAAGAACTTTCGCGGCGAAGGTGATGCTATGCTGCTGATGATGATGGAGATGATGATGATGATTCTCCCGCATCGGCGCAAGCGAGCAGTCTCCGGGCGGCGGCCGCGGCGCGCGTGCGCGAGGGGGCCCGAAAGTGTGCGGGCCCGCCCAGCGCGCGCGGGCCGTGCGGCACCGCTCTCAGACGGTGAGCTCCGTCTGGCCGCCGAGGAGATCGGCGGAGCAGCGCCGCAGGTCAGCCTTGTGAAAGGAGGGGGGGAGAGGTGGGGGGCCGAGAAGCTGCAGAGACTGCTAGGGCGCGAGAGGCTGGAGAATAAGAGCGTGCATTCTCCCGCATCGGCGCAAGCGAGCAGTCTCCGGGCGGCGGCCGCGGCGCGCGTGCGCGAGGGGGCCCGAAAGTGTGCGGGCCCGCCCAGCGCGCGCGGGCCGTGCGGCACCGCTCTCAGACGGTGAGCTCCGTCTGGCCGCCGAGGAGATCGGCGGAGCAGCCATACCCAGGCTCAAAGCCCTTGCGAAGTGACAAGGTTTCGGCGGGCGGCCGCAGGGTGAAAGTGGGGCCACGCAGTAGGGCCGGCATTCAGTAAGGCAGCGACAAGAGAGGCGACCTGAGCACAAAGGGGGGGCTCAGGGAGGGGCGGACGGCTAGAAGAGCCGAGCAGGCCGTATTGACACGCGGTGCGCCAACCGCCGAAAGCAAATGGATTCACCGAGTACGGAAGCCGCACTGCCCGAAGGGTGGGAGCGGATCGGTGAGACCCAACAGCTTAAAATTTCTGCCATGGCAAACGCAGCGTTGCCGGCTGAAGCGATTCTCCGCTACTACCGCCCTCAGCCGTCGCCCACATAGCGCGTGAGAGTTAGTGCTGCTGGCGGTAGTGCTGGCGCCAATGCTAGTGTCGGTGCTGGCGTAGACGCCCGCGCCGTAGCCGGCATAGGCGCAGGCGCCGGTGCAGCCGCAGCCAATGTTGGCATTGGTGCAGGCGACGGTGCTGGCCTCAGTGCTGGCATAGGCGCTGGCGCTGGTGCTGGCGCAGGCGAAGGCGCTGGTGCTGTCGCCGACAGTGCTGGCGTTAGTGCTGGCGTCGGTGCTGGCGTAGGCGCTGCCGTAGGCGCTGGTGCTGGTGCCGGCGCAGGCGCAGGCGTCGGCGCTGCAGCCGCCACTGCTGGCGGTAGTGCTGGCGACAGTGCTGACGTCGGTGCTGGCGTAGGCGTTGGCGCTGGTGCCAGCGTAGGCGCAGGCGCCGGTACTGCCGCCGTCAGTGCTGGCGTTAGTGCTGGCGTCGAAGCTGGCCTCGGTGCTGGCGTAGGCGCTGGCGCTGGTGCTGGCGTAGGTGCAGGCGTCGGTGCAACCGCCTTCAGTGCTGTCGGTAGTGATGGCGTCGGCGCTGGCGTAGGCGCTGGCGCTGGTGCCGGCGTAGGCGCAAGCGTCGGTGCGGCCGCCGTCAGTGCTGGCGTTAATGCTGGCGCCGGTGCTGGCCTTGGTGCTGGCTGAAGCGCTGGCGCTGGTGCCAGCGAAGGCGCAGGCGTCGGTGCTGCCACCGTCATTGCTGGCGTTAGTGCTGGCGTCGGTGCTGGCCTCGGTGCTGGCGTAGGCGCTGGCGCTGGTGACGACGTAGGCGCAGGCGTCGGCGCTGCCGCCGTCAGTGCTGGCGTGAGTGCTGGCGTCGGCGCTAGCCTCGGTGCTAGCGTAGGCGTTGGCGCTGGTGCCGGCGTAGGCGCAGTCGCCGGTGCTGCCGCCGACGGTGCTGGCGTTGGTACTGGCGCCGGTGCTGGCCTCGGTGCTGGCGCTGGCGCTGGCGCTGGTGCTGGCGTAGGCGCAGGCGTCGGTGCTGCCGCCGTAAGTGCTGGCGTTGGTGCTGGCGCCGGTGCTGCCCGTGGTGCGGGCGTAAGCGCTGGCGCTGGTGCCCGCGTAGGCGCAGGGGTCGGTGCAACCGCCACCAGTGCTAGCGTGAGTGCTGGCGCCGGCGCTGGCCTAGGGCTGGCGTAGGCGCTGGCGCTGGTGCCGGCGTAGGCGCAGGCGCCGGCGCTGCAGCTGTCAGTGCTGACGTTAATGCTGGCGTCGGTGCTGGCCTCGGTGCTGGCTGAAGCGCTGGCGCTGGTGCCGGCGTAGGCGCAAGCGTCGGTGCGGCCACCGTCAGTGCTGGCGTTAGTGCAGGCGTCGGTGCTGGCCCCAGTGCTGGCCTAAGTGCTGGCGCTGGTGCCGGCGTAGGCGCAGGCGCGCAGGCGTCGGTGCAACCGTCGCCAGTGCTGGCGTGAGTGCTGGCGCCGTGCTGGCCTTGGTGCTGGCGTAGGCGCTGGCGATGGTGCCGGCGTAGGCGCAGGCGCCGGCGCTGCAGCGTGCGGCCGCCGCCAGGGCTGGCGTTAGTGCTGGCGTCGGTGCTGGCCTTGGTGCTGGCTGAAGCGCTGGCGCTGGTGCTGGCGTAGGCACAGGCGTCGGTGCCGCCCCCGTCAGTGCTGGCGTTAATGCTGGCGTCGGTGCTGGCCCCGGTGCTGGCCTAGGTGCTGGCGCTGGTGCCGGCGTAGGCGCGGGCTCCGCACCTGCCGCCGTCAGTGCTGTCCAGCCCCGCAGAAGGCCGGGCGAAAAAGAGAGTGAAACTCACGCGCGAAGAAGGAGAGCCGCGCGATCTGCGGGCGGGGGGCTCCTCAGCCCCACGCCCGACCCGCGTCGCGCCAGGAACCCCGCGAGTCGACAGGCTCGCCTGCGGAAGGCGAACGCTCTGGCGAGGGTAAGGGGGCTCGCCGAGGCTCGCCGCACTCCTTCCGTCGGCGTAGGCGGCCGAGGGGAGCGACCCCTCGGTAGCGCGGGGAAAGCCACTCTGGGAGACCCCGAACGCCAGGTCCGCGAAAGCGGCGGCGGCGGCAGCGCTGGAGGTAACCCCGGGCGCAGGCGGCGCTCGTGCGGAGACATGCGCGCTGCTGGCCTTGGCCTTCCCCCCCTGCGGCGCGTGTCCCTCCCTGCGGTGCCGTGGCCGCCTCGCTGGAAGGGCGCGCGCCTACAGGGCGGTCGGTGGCCGCCTCGGAACGGGCGCGCTTCTCGCGAGGGAGAGGGCGCGTTTTGCTCGTCGGAGATCCTGCTGCGCACCTGGAGCGGGGCACGTGGCCCCAGATGCGAGCGTTCGCCGTGCGGCGAGCGCGGCGGCCAGGTGCCAGGGCAGCCCCCCCCAGGTGCAGGGGCAGCCACCCCCCAGGTGCGTGGCCAGCGGGGAGAGCTCCGCGCTGCTGACCCTTGCCTCCCTGCTTAGCGCGGGCCAAAGCATTGGCCGCAGGCCCCTCGCCCGCGGCAGGGGCGCTCGCGCTGGAGGCGCACTCGCAAGCGGCGGCCTGGAGGAGCGTGGACTTGGCGTCACATAACTCCTTCCAGCGGCGAGCTCGGTCGGCCAGCTCCGCGCCGCTGAGCCCTGGCGGGGCCTTGTCGGGGTGAACGGCGACAGATATCCGCCTGAAGGCGGCTTGCACAGCCTGTCTGCCGCCGCTCTCGCTTACCCCGAGCAGCTCACGGGCGCGGCTCAAGCGCACCGCGCGTTGAAAGGTGCGCGCGGACGCCTCGGCACGGCCCGAGAGAGCCTCGGCAAGTCCCTGGCGCGTCGCGCCCCGACCTATGGCAGCCGGGGGGGCCGACATGGCCTTGGAGCTGGAAGCTAGGCCCGGGCGAGCCTTGGCGCGGGGCGCGTCGAAGGCCGCCCCGGCAGACGGAGCGCTGGCGGCAGCGCCCGCGGGCGCGCCCAGGGCATCAGCGGCGGCTTTGGGCGCGGCGGCAGGGTTGCCGAACATGGCGATCCGTAGGCCCTTGGGGCTGCTGGCGGAGGTATCCGCGGCGGCGCTGTCGCGCGGGCCGCGGGCGGCTGCCTCGGTGGCTGGTGGTGGGGCGCTGGCGGCAGCCCCGCTAGCGCCGGAGGGGTCAGCAGACTCTCCCTCGGCGCCGTCCGAGGATACGGCCATCCCAACGCCCCGCGCGGCTGGGGAGACGGCCGCAAAGCCGAGGCGCCCGCACCTTGCGGGGCCTCGCGCCAAAAGAAAGGCGACGAGGCGGCCCCACAAACAGGTCGGATAAGGTGCACGGGAGTCCGCATAAGCTATGCAATCAAAGCGTTGGAAATCACCGTTTTCAGCTTCCACGAGCCAAGCGGGAGGAGCCCGGGAGGGAGGTCGAACGGGTCGATTCCTCGTAGGGTCATCGGCGCGATGAACGTCCGTGGGCACATACAAGCCGCCCATGTAGAGCCCTCCGCCAATAATATAAGGCAACATGGTAGCAAGAACATGAGACAATGCTGGTGAGCTGCTCCGACCATGGGCGGATGCACCCAAAGCAACCTTCGAATCGAGCAAAATTGGAATGCGAGAGTTTGGAAGGCGAACACAACAATATTTGCACAGGCTCTTATAAACGGTTGTTTCAAGGATATTGATGTGCCGAGGCATGCGGAACTCCCATTTATACGCTAAGCGAAAGCGAAGCGACTCCGACAGTTCGGTGATCCAGCGCGGCGCGACGGGGGGCTCAAGAGACATGAGCCCCAGGTCGCGATGCAGCTGGGTCAGCTCAGGGCCAACAGGTTCACCGCGCTCAAGAACAGCGAGGAGGCTGCGATTATGAAGCATCGTATGCCACCCCCCGAGCTCCGACCTGCGCCACAGCTCCGAGGAGAGCTGCGGGGTGATCGGAGCGCGGACCACTCCCCCCCAGCCGAGGGACGCGTCCGTACCGAACACCTCGGGGCAAGGTTG